TGTAAAATGACAATATTAGTTCTAGACATTTACTGATTAAAGGGGCATTGTGGCCTAAAACTAGCTTTTAATATGTTACTTGCCCTGTTATATAATATTCTATAGCACATCATTATATTCCTTAACCTCAGTTTGACAGAATTCATGATTTCATATCATTTTCATATTTTCATTCAATAGTGTTTTCTCTCTACAAAACCCATTACGCATGAAACAAGCATATCATACAACCACTGGGAATCTCTGATATAAACCAACCCTGACTTTTAACCACTAAGCTATAGGCTAATAAATACAACCTAACAAGCATTAGAGTGGTCAAACAAAATTGTTAAAGAAATAGTGATTCTATCTTCATTTAGCACAAAGTGGACACCAGAGATGAGTTTTCCCCTTTCAGTCAGAGAAAAAAAAGCCAAACTGAGGTAAATGAAAGTAAATAGCCAGGTTATCATCAAGATACAACACCAGATAGGATTTTAAACTCTTTAAACTGGAATATCCCACTCTGGAGACTACTGCGGCACCACCATAGGACGCAAGCAGGTATATCTAAACATATGTAGCAATGTTTTAATTTTTCATTTTGGCCAAAGTGTCACTTTGAATAACCATAATATAATAGTAAATAGATGATACATTACAAACAAATCCCTATAAATACTCAAAACAATGATCCTAAGACCTTTATACATATGCACTCTGGGTCTGTACCTTGTGAATGCTGGTCCATTGGGCTTGGTGGGGGTCCCATACCAGCATGTGCTCCTGCTCTCATAGGCACTCCTTTCATCTGACTAAAGCGTGAGTCTTCTGCCATGTTCTTCTCATGCAGGCCCTCCAGAGGCTGCAGAAACAAACAATAACCTTAAAATAACTGCACGTTCAGTGAACCTCTACAGACTACACATGCACACAGAGAGGCTGTGGCTTTACTTTGTGCATTTGGTGCATGCTCTCCTGCTGCGTGTATCCGGATGGTCCTTGCTGAGGGAGAGAGTGACCGGATGTGGTTGGGGGCCCGGGACTTGGGCCCATCATAGTGTGGGAGGATCCAGGGGAGGGCCCTGGCCCCAGCATTGCACCAGGAGATGGCCCCGGGCCTGGGGAGGGGCCAGGCCGGGGAGTCCCTCCTAATGGAGGATCCGGAGTGGACATCCTCCTGCATTATTAGATTAAGAGACCTCATTAGTTTCATATAGCCTGGCACAAAGAATGGCTGTGAATAAGGTTTGATCTGCAGCATTAAGCTTAACTGTTTATAACCTGCCAGGATTTCACAATATTAAACACTAATATTTCTCAGTAACATATTTCTCAGTAATTCATTCAGTGCAATGCAGAAAAGCCCAACATGCAGATATGAACATGAACGTCTATTACATTAAACTGCAAATTAATTATTAGGCTGGGGTACAGCTGAACAGTTGGAGAAAATATCGAATTTATCTGAGCAATGTTGAGAGTGCAATTTAAACGTGATTACCTCTATTAATTAATCGATCTATTAATAACTTGTACCACATTTTCATGTCACTACCAAGACCTTATTTAGCCACATCCAAGCAGTTTAGAGAAGGAAGTGAGACTGTCCCTCATGGACACATTACGAGCAGTTAGATCCCACTGTTTTGAAGTAAATGTGTCCCAAAGTCTGAAAATCGGTGTGTAACATCAAGATTTGTCACTACTGATTTTAAGCAAGTTTTAGTGTTCTAATAAAATATTATGATTTAATGTGTACAAAGCTGTGTTTGCTAGTCATGTACTGGCTAGCGTTTTTGAGTCTTGCTCAAAATTGGCTAAAACTGTCACTACAAAAACAGTCACTACGAAACATTTAGTAACATTTTGGTAGCATTATGATCGTTTTGGTAGTGACAGAACAGAATGTTCAATTATTTATTTAATGAAATAAACATAATTAAGGTATAGGGTCACTCGAAGCAAAGGGATTTTGAATTATATATGAATTATATAGAATGAATTACATTTCAATAGTGAACTAGAAATACTACACAACCTTCAGTGTTTTCTTTTTAATGTCATTTCTCTGCTTTGAAATTGTTCAAAATTCTCAACGTTTCTGTTGTTTATTTTCTGATTTAAAAGAAAAATAGCTGATTTTCAATAGGGTTTCGGACTTTTGGATGTGCATCCACTGTAGACGCATTCCAGTCTAAAACCTTTCACTCAAAGTTCCTTGATTATAGAGTTATAGAGACATGTTTTGTTAGCTCAGTGGGGATATCTGGCCTGGTTCACAGTTTGGTTTGCACAGCTTTTTATCCTCAATGAGGCATCACATCAACAGCTAGATTTGTTTCTAAATAAGATTGTACATATGTTTTCAAACTATATTCACATAAAACATCACTTGATTACAGAGAAAGACATGTTTTATTAGCGAGTTACTTGTAGCTTGCCACAAAGAAGGGCACAAAGTTTATTCTGCACAGTATATTAACTTGGACGAGGCTTAATACCAATAATAGACAACATACTGTATATTCGCCTATGCATTCCTATCTAAAAACTTTTCAAACATCAAACACTTCATACAATCTATTATGGGCCTGTAGAGCATTTAGGCTTATTTTTAAGAACATCTGTATCCAGCCACATCCAGCAAAAATAAAGGCATCTTATATACATATGACTGACAAATGCAAGATTCACAAATCATTAATTAATCCCTAATAAATCCCAGCTTATTTATTAATAGGCATCAAATGATCATGACTAAATGCATACAGCAGCATAATTAGACATGCACAGCAACTTAATCCTATACAGGCATAACATCAGGAATGCCAGGTGATGCTGCTGGCTGCTGCAACTGGCCAAGACCCAGGTTGCAAACAATAGGCATGGGCATATTATGGGATTTTCTTTTTTTTTCTTTTCTTTTTTTTTGCAGTAGGATAGAACATTTGATTTGGACGTTATGGCCAGCTTATAACCTGCACTGCACAAACCTCATAAATCTCTGACACACAACCATCGAACAGAGAAGAGAGAAACAACACCTAGTTGAACAAGTAAAAGGCTTTGGGAGAGAAAAGAAAATGTCTTCCAGGTTGTCCTTCTCAGCTCAGTGCTGCGTGAAGGCTTGAAGAGGGCGACTGCAGCACATCAGGGTGGACGCGTCCAGCCATAAGGACACCGAACGACACCGTGCATGATGTTGCATTAACAACTTGCATAGAGATCACGTAACGGATCGCGTATCACTTTCTGAAGCGGTTTTTTCCCCTATGCAATTGCAAAAAAACAGGCCAAATGGCGTTGCCATTGTATCTGGTGGTGAAAGCGCGGTGGGTGTTAGATGCTGGTGTTGGTGTTGGTGTTAAGACTGACTTACCAGGCGAATTTGCAATTGAAGTTGCAGCAGACTCAGCGCAGCCCTCGCTGTTGCATATCTACAGCAGACGGCCGTAATTACCGTAAGCTCTCTAGCGCGCAGCTCATCCTGAGGCTGGGCATGTACGGAGAGCCGTGGAGGACAAAGAGAGATTCAAGCGAGAGAGAGGGTGAATTTTCACCACCCCAAAAGCCTGGCACGAGAGCTTTTATATTTATATAAAAGGGAGGGTGAGGATGAGGACAGGGAGAAGGAGATTGTAATGCGCATCTATTTATCCCCAAATGTTCACAGTATCTGGCTGTACAAACTTCCTCCGAGCAGTAGTTTTAAATAGTGTTTCTCCCCAGGCTTTGGCTGCATTGATGGGTTTAGTCTAAGGCAAGCCAAGCCTGTCCCTACATTATTTTTAGGGCAGTAGCACATCAGTAAGACTGGGGAGGCAGATGGGTCGAAATGAACGGCTGTATTTGCAGGTGTTTTACATGAAGGTGGTGTGGAGATGGCGTGGCTGCTGGGAGTGTCTGCACTGATGCTGGTGGAGGGAGGGATGAAGACCCTGTTGGAGATGGGTCTCTGTGAAAAGCAGAACGGTTCTAAGCCAGAGGATCCCAAATATTTGATCTCTGTAGGAAAATCTGCTGACTACAGAGCCCCTAATGTGACATAGTGATTATGTTTTAATACGGTGTGGCTACGAATTAATATATTAAGGTGACGAGTTACGTTTCTCATAACTAGTTACCTGAATATAGTATGTTATGGCCTCAATAAAGTAATTTGTGGCGACGCCTTATTAAACAATAATCACTGTCACCTTAAGGTCCCAATACCTGGCCATTCAACCATTCATATTAACATTACACCTTATCATTAAATACAGCTTAATAATAATAACAATTATTATTATTATTATTATTAGTAGTAGTAGTAGTAGTAGTAGTAGTAGTAGTAGTACAACAATACTAACAACGGTAAAATAATTACTATGTATTACAATGTAATAGTAATGTAATAAAGCATCATTATAACATTCTAATTTTAGAATTACCAATAACTAAAAAGCTATAACACTGTAACGTAATACGAATAAAATCGTAGTGAAAATATGTAAAAGAACAATAAGAATATATTAATGTGACAGCTACGATAATAACAATAATAAAAATAATGATAATAAGAATGGATTTTAGGAATCTTCCAAACGTATGTAAAGAAAATATGTGCCTCGTTTTACATCAATATCTTTCCTCACACAAAGGTTCTCTTGGGTTACTGAGTAAAAACACTAATAATGATTTTTTTTATTAACGTTTATTTCACTTATTTCTTTATATACAGAGACTGCGCAGCAACAAAAGAGCGGATATAAATAATACAAAATGAGAATTGCATACATTAAAATATGTACACAAACGAAAATAAACAACAAGAGATTTCAAAATACACTTCCAATCATGTTCAATATTTAAGGACATTATGTGTTTTAGGGCTTTGTAATAATTCATTTTGGAATGCTGTAAAACTGGGACGTTTTAAAATATTTTAATTAATAAAAACTCGGTGTTTTGGCCTCCTCCGCCGCTCCGGACCGAAAGGCGGCCGTGCTGAGTTTCCTCCGCCGCCGCTGCGCTGCTTTTTGGTAAACACAACAGGCTTCCGGTGCATATCGACTTTCTGCCTGTTCGCCTGGTAACCGATGAATTTCGTTGATCATTTAAACAAATGGGCGAGTAGAGTGGATATGGTGAGTGGATGTGATTTGCAAGTGTCTAATCTGTCGAATTGAGCGGGTTTCGCGGTAGAACCATCGCGCAAAAAGAGAAAAAAAATCCCGTGTTTAGGCAGCGCTCGGTGCGCTAACGTTAACGCTAGCTTTAGCTCGTTCAGTTAGCCGCATCCTTCTCACGCAAACGGACTCAATCGGTTCGGTGAATTCGGCTAACGTGCTGCGCAGCTAAACGACGAAGCTGAAGTCAGCTTTCTTGTACCAGATTCCGGTTCCACCTTAAAAGGTGCCTCAGGCGTCAGAATGTAACTGCTGCACCATTTAAGGTGGAACGGGGTAATTCGAACAAGAAGCTGGCGAATAGGAAGCCTCGTAAATTAAGTTAGCTAAACTCATGTTTGCGAAAATCTCCATTTAGACGTCAAATCTAAGACTCCACTTGGTAACTTTCATTCAAAAACTCATTTGGAGTATTTTTTTAAATCTAGCTCCCATTTCCTCGCCCCTTTCCACCCCTCCCTCCCTGCCTTTTGCTCCCGTAAATCCCGCCGGTTGCACAAAATGTCCGTGGCTGTTTTGTGTAGCGACGTTAGCTAGGTTAGCTTGGCGAGTTTTTAGCCCACCTAGCTAACGCGGTAGAGCAATGATTTGTTCCACCTCTTGTTTTAGGACTACGGGAACAAACTGAACCAGGCTCTCTCCTCTAGCTCTAAATTTCTACCCACAGCAGGAGGACCGCGGGGGGCTGCACCGTTTCAGCACTACGGCCGTCCGTTGGGGCACGGCGTGAAAGTCAAAGAGGAGGACGAGAGTGTCGAGGATTTCTTCCATTTCGGTGAGTCGGTGCAGTTTTGTGCGTTAAATCCGCGAATAGTTCCTTACCATCACACTCGATCGTAAAAGTAACGTTAACATCTTTAAAATACCTTAAAACACGTTGGCTTTGTATAAAGCACGTTGCGTCGTGAAAACCAATATGTTTTAAATTTCCTAAAATCTATTGCTGTGTTGTAAATACCACAAAATGTCGCTTAAAGGGGAATTTCGTCGAAATGGTAGCATGATTCCGTCGTTGCCATGTAAGCATGCAGAGTGGTTGGGTGTGAATTGCTTCGTTGCAGAGAAACTTAAACACTCTGAATTCTTTACGGTGTTGGTAAGAAGCAGGAGTCTGCAACACAAAAATAGCCATTTTATTTACTCTCCAGAACCACCAGTGAACCTACATGTCTTGTAAGTTTTTATATGTATTATTCATAATGGTAAAATAGTGGAAAATCTGAAAGGAAAAAAAGGGGGACTATATTGCCTTATAACGCCCTGCATGGATCCCTCTGCCATAAATGGATTAAATGGATTATCAAGACATTTTAGGCCAAAACTTTAGGACGAAACTGGCATAAATCTATGTCTCAGGCTTCAGGCAGCATATTCTTAACTATTTTGTGAGGGAGCTTTTAGAGGCAGACGTCTGGTTTCTATCACTTCTACTGTAAACAAATCTCGGTAAGTTTCTCTAGAACAAAGCATTTCACATCAGACCACTCTGAATGACTTTGTTTACATCTTAAACATTTAATTATGTAGAAGTATTAAGAAAATTGAGTTTCCCTTTAATGGCATGTTGCACCATAAAAACACTGTTTAGATGCCTTAGCTGTATTGCTAGATGAAAGCACAGTGCTTTGTTAAAGCGATGCCTTTAAAAGCACAATTCTGCTTTTTCTTCCAAATTTTCTGTGTTACTTAATTATTGAGATGTCATTGACATCTCAGTCATTGAAAGAGTTTTGATGTTAAGTGGTTTATTGTAGAGAAACTGACTGACTCTGGTTTTCTTTACAGTGGTGGTGATAAGAACCAGGGGTTGTGACATCAGGGCAAATATAGCCATTTTGTTTGACCAGTGAATCTACATGCTTTGTCTTTTTATATGTGATGTGGGTAAAATAGTTGCAAATCTGGAAAAATCATTCTTTGGGGGGACTATTTTGCCTTACAGCATTCTGCATGTATCTCTCCCATCTGAATAGATTTTAAAAGTACTGTGCTATGAACATATGAACATGTAGATGTTTAATAGCTGGAAACTGGTTATTTATTGTTTCTTTCACTCTCTTTATTGAATAGCTCAGCATCTTCAGCAGCAAACAGGAGAGTGCCTCACAGCTTGCTGCGGTGGAGCAAATCCCAAAACGACACCTCTCACAGCATCTCTAACTGCCGCTCTCCCTAACGCTCTCACTAGCCCTCCACCCAAACCAAACAGCCAGCCTTCGGCGGAGAGGCCGTATCACTGCCAGGACTGTGGAAAGTATTTCAGAATCAGTGACATTAAGCGCCACCAGAGAATTCACAGTGGCGAGAGGCCGTTCCCTTGCTTTCAGTGCGGTAAGAATTTCCCCACGTCAGGAGACCTAAAAAGGCACGAGAGGATCCACACGGGAGAGCGGCCGTACCACTGCCTGCAGTGCGGCAAGAATTTCTCAGATTCGGGGCACCTGAAGCAGCACGAGAGGATGCACACGGGGGAGAGGCCTTACCAGTGTTCACAGTGCGCTAAGCGCTTCTACAGATCGGGAGACCTAAAGAGACATCTCAGAATCCACAGCGGGGAACGGCCTTACAAATGCCCCCAGTGCGAAAAGACCTTCTCCGATTCCGGACATTTGCGGGGTCACCAGCGTATCCACACGGGAGAAAGACCCCACCGCTGCACTCTGTGCGAGAAGAGCTTCTTTAGATCAGGTGATCTGAAGAGGCACCATAGGACGCACACCGGAGAGCGGCCTTACCAGTGCTACCAGTGTGGAAAGAGCTTCTCCGAATCGGGACACCTCAAGGAGCACAGGCGGATTCACACCGGTGAAAAACCTTATCACTGCAACCAGTGTGACAAGAGCTTCTCTAGGCTGGAGAGGCTCAAGGGCCACCAGAGCATCCACACGGGGGAGAGGCCCTTTCACTGCGCACAGTGCGGCAAGAACTTCTTCAGGTCCGGAGAGCTGAAGAGGCACCAGAGGATACATAATGGGGACAGAGCGTAAAATTCACTTACATTAGGGCTAGTTTTGATCTTTGGTTTTTGCAGGGCATTTGTTTTATTTTATTATATATGTGGCCAGTCTGACTGCTAATGTCACTGTACTGCAGGACTGTTTCTGCCCTGGGTAACATACGGTTCAACAGAAGCTCTAGGGTTAAAGGTATACTCTGGCTTTTTTAAACCTAATATCTGTCTGCTGTATCTGTATCGTTTGAAAAGTCCATTTTTGCCAGGAAGAGGAGGAAAAAATAGTCTGAGAATTTTTTTTCTCCTTTTCTGGTTCTGCAGTAGACAGCAGTATGTCTACATTTTGACTTATTGTTTTGTATCTTGACTTATTTTAGTGTCTTGAAATAATTAACACATTATTTTAACATAGTATCTCAAATTTTGAGTTATTTTGAGATAAGCAGGATTTTGAGAAACCTAAATTTGCATCAGTAGTCAGTATTTTGTGGTTAAGTAAATATTTTGAAATAATAAGTCAATATTTAAAAATACTAATTAATATATTGCCATACTGCTGTGAGAAACTGAGAAAAAGCAAACACTGGCCTTTTTTGTCCTCTACCTGGTGGAAGTGGGATTCGTATGGTCAGTTACCTCAGACCGTGATTTTAATGCATTTCTTTATATGTGACAAAAGAACAGAAAACCTGTTGACTCAAACTGTTTATAATAGAAGCCAGTGGGCAGTTGCTTCTGTTGTTAGTTGTTTTAAAATTTCAAGTAATCAGGTCTTCTGTTCTTTTTATTATATGGTATAAATGCAGCGGATGGAGAATAGGTTGAAAAGTGCATTCCTTTAAGGTATGTTCATGAAGGGCTGAAGCAAAAACTTGCATACACGTTGGCTCTTGTAGAAGGAGGGTCAGACCTGCCTGTGCTATTTAATGTATGTACCCCCAGATACTAATGGAGAGGGCAGTTACCTGACTGGCCTTTGACATTCCTTGATAAAAATGAATATGGATTCTTATTTGAATTTTTTTCGAAAAAGAGATAAGTGTAGATATTCCCATCCAAGTTAAAGGTATTTTTTCCCCTCATCGCTCATTTCCAATCCAGTTGTATTCCAAATCACTTTATAACCGCTACCTCTACATGCCTTTATTTACAGGGAAGCGCCTTTAGAGCATGACCTGTGGAGGTGGTTGCCTTCAATTATCAAAACAGGGCCACTGTTACTCACTGGCAACCTCTGCATCCGGCTAAAGTAACACTCATCTATTGTTTCTCTCCCGTAGATGTTTTTATAGATGCTCATATTCCCATAACATTTACAAAAAGTGGCGTTTAAAGTGTGGATTGTACAGTACAATGTTTGTATATTGTAGCAAGGTATATGTCAAGTGAAAGACTCTGTAGAACTGTATATTGTAAAGGAGATTCTTTATGTGTATGCTTACTTGTATTTACAAATATTACTTGCTTTTTTACTTTTTAAACCCTTCACAAGCGCGTGCTGAATTCCATTAGTGTTCAGAAGCAGTCAACGGCTGTGATGGTTGACTTAGACATGAGACGTGTGTGTCCCTGACATTAACTTTTGTCATGTTTCCTTTGATGTATCACTGTATGTAACGGCACACAATGATCTTGTGCTTGCATCTGCCACTATTGTGGCACTGTAAAATGCTACTGTACTCATCATGTAAACAGTACATGGGGAAAATATTCTAAGTATGACACTCTGTCCACTCCTCAAATATATTTTTCACCACTATCTTGAAAGTAGTATTTACCAAGTGAGAGTGTCCTCTGTTGTGGAACCACAATTTATGATTCATTTGTTTTTTAAAACATGAAATATTTGGGGTCTGCACTTATAGGCGAAGTGTGTATTAATCCAATCTTTCACAGATCCTATGAATTAGATTTAGTGTCTAACTACATTTTTGTTTTTGTTAAAACATTTTTTTTTTCCGTATTGCTGTCATTTTTTTTAAAGACATATGTATGTATTTAACCATTCATGAGATGTGTTTAGTTTAGTTGTCCTTGATTCAATCAGATGTTTTTAAGAAACAACAGAAAACGCCTTGGCAAAATACCACAGAGTGGTAGAGAATGAGGTGAAGCAGATTTCTGATTGAATCCAGGCTCTAGAGTAGGTGTGGTATTTTCCTACCCTGGGCTGCCCCATCCTTTGCCTGTGCATGAGTGCTTTCTTCATATGTTAATGTAATTATCCCTTATTTGCACAAAATAAATACATAATCTCAGCTCACAGATTTTCTCCATACATACTCAAAATTGTTCCCTGCGTTTGTGAATGTTATTGCACACTGCATTTATTGGCATTCATGTCTACCAAAGGTCCAGCACGAGAATGAAATCATAAGTATAGCAGCTTTATGCCGATAATTGTGTGGTAAATCTGTCCAAAGGAGCCACACATTCAACAGAGAATCAACAGGAGAGCCACAGTTACAGAAAAAGCATCAAAGGGTTTTACCTATTTAACAATTCTGCTATGTATCTTTCAGCAACATGCAGCCCATTCCTGAAGTACAGCCAATACAGAGTGATGTATTTCAAGCCATTGTCCAGTCTGAATCTCCGGTCTCCTGCCCTGTGGCCTTTTCACAGACTGTATGATGTTCACTGAGGTGCTCAACATTATCACCTTGGATCTCTGAGGCTGCACAGCTGCAAGCGCATAAACAGTAATTATGAAAGTGCTTCAGCTCAGCTCACATCCATGGTTGATATTCACACCTAAATCTGCACATTTGCGCTTGTATTTTTGAAAGATTTACTTTGTTTCTCCTAAATTTTAGCTTTGTATTTAATATTCTCCTTCGTTTTGTTAATGTCCTCTTATATGTTTGACTATGAAATAACTGAGTTTTGGGTAATTCCACAAGCAGATGTCTGCTGATGCCTGCATCCTAAGTTTGCAAAAAGTACACATTTTCGCCCTTACCTGTAGACCTGTGGCAGAATTAATGAGTCCTACAACGGTGTGGGCTTTCTCAGTAGGCTGCATGAGTAGAAGCCTGGAGAAGATTAGGACTGAGCACCTATGTTGATTGATGTAGCCTTTAACATTAGGTGTGACGGTTCAGTTTCACTTTGTTTTTGTTTTTTTTTTTATTCTCCACCTGCGACTATGGAAGCATGTGCAATATGTAATGTGTTTAGTGGGGCATTATGATTGGTTGGTGGGGCATTGCCCCACTAATTAACCCCCTGAAGCCAGGCCTGTAGTTTACGGACATAGTAAGACAGATTGCTAAGTGCATGGGAGCTGTTGGGGAGGAAGAAGCTGATTTATGGCTCCAGTAATGGTAAGCAAGAAAAAAAAAATACAGTGTGTTAATCAATGTTAGTATTCTAAACAGTTAAATTGTCTATCAAAACGGTGCAAGCAAGTAGAAATGTAACATTTCCAAAAAAACCCTGATCGTTGATTACCCCTGCACATTTTGGTAAGTTTCTGTTGGTTCCTAGTGGTGTCCAGTAGTCAGTAATGCCATTTTATGTTTTCCTGCTGGGTTGATATCACAGTGAATAATTCTGATGGTTTAACAGGTGTTCTGGGACTAATTCCAAGCAAAACCATCAGGTTTTAATCCCAATGGTCTTTTTTCAACAGGGTTCCACTGTCCGAACACACCTGATGCAACTAATCAGCTAATTAACAAACCCCTACTGAGTTGAAGTGGGTGAGTTACAGCAGGGGTGCTCCAGGAACGGGTGTGGGAACCTGGACAGGTATTCGCAAACCCCTCCATTCAGGAGTGCTGATTCTGGACCAATGTTTTTGACCAGGGTCCGTATATATGAAGCTCCTCAGGGGAGGAGTCCCCATCTAGGGTCTGTTATTGTCAGTAAAGTCACAGTGAGTAAGAGAGTGATGTGACCACTCTCACTCTGATAAGCTTCATTAATATGGGCTTTAATCGCCTGACTGCTTCGTGTTTTGCTTCGTGTTTTCGATCATCGATACCAAAATGGCTCGAAGGAAGACGTTCAGGCGATCATTTATTTACGACAGCTGCCGAAGCGTTGACGGCGGAGTCGAAGTCCGTTCGGTTTCCAAGGATACGTTAGAAGACGGCGATGACGTCATGCGGCGCGCGGAGCTGCGGAGGTGAGAACGAGAGAGGGAACAAGAGGGGAAAGGAAGAAGAACGAGAGGATAGAGGGAAGGTAGAGGGAGAGAGTGACTGAGAGGGAGAAAAACGACGGGAAAGAGAGAAAGAGGGAAGGGAGGAGGTAAAAGAGAAAGAAAGGGAGCGATAGAGGGAAAGAGAAGAGCGAAACAGAGAGAATGGGCGCCAGGTGAAAGGTACGTTAGCAAGCACACGGACGCTAACAAACAGACTAACGTCACGGGTTTATGAGGTTTGTGCTCGTGAGCTCCTTTTCATCATCTGAATGAACGGAGAAGCTGTTCTCTTCAGTTCTTCTCTGTTGTGAGCTCCGTGTTTACTAACAGCGCGGCCCGAGTGCTAATGTTAGCTCGTTAGCTAGCTTATAAAAACAAAGACCAGCACACCGATGTGTTGAGTCTCACACGTTTCCCAGACCTTCACTTCGCCTTTATTACTTTATTAGCTAGCTAGCCTGCTTACTTTATGTTTCGAAAGTCCCCAACACACTGGCTGGATCTGTTGGGGTAGAAATATTGAACTACTTAGCCAAAAAACGAATTCTGTTTGCTTAGTCAGTAACCTCGAGCTCACGTTTAGAGGGGAACTCCTACCGATTTTTCAAAACATTCTGTACATAAGCTAGTTGAGATGTGAACAGAGCCATTCAGAGTGGTTTGGTGTGAAATGCTCTGTTCTAGATAATTGTTCACATTGGTACTGATAGGAACCAGACGTCTGAAAAGTTTATTGCCTCTGCTCACAGAAAGCTATTATATGAAATGGTTATGAATACACAGCCTGATGACACATTATTGTATGATATTTAAATGTATTTTACACCGTGACCCCTGGTTCCTATCACCACCATATTATGTCAAACCACTCTGAAGACTCTATTTACATCTCATAGACTGAATTATTCCGAAATTTTGAAATATTAGTGAAATTCCCATATAACATGTAAGCAAAGTTATTGAGAGTGGTTTGTGAATTGCACCATTCTAGAGAAGCTTACAGAGTCAGAATTGTTCACAACAGTGGTGAGATGAACCAGAGGTCCGAAAGGTTTGATGCCTTTAAAAGCTACCTCGCAGAAAGTTATTACGCAGACTGGTTACTAAAGAGTTGGTTGGGTGTGATACATTGTTTTACAATAGTTTCAATGGAAGATTTTGGTTTAAAACATGTTTTAATCGTTGTGATGGAGTGGGTACATGCAGGGCGTTCCAAGGCAAAGTAGTACCCAAAGAAAAATGTTTACCACTTTTACTATTATCAACATTTACATATATATTTCAAACGCATTTAGTTTGCTAGTTTAGGATAGTAAATGAAATGGTTATATTTGCATGTTGGCTTTATTGGACATCATGGCTTTATTTATCACCACTAAAAAGAAATCTGAGCTTGTAAGTTTCTCTACACACTCACTATCTCAGATCAGACCACTCTGAATGAGACTGTTTACATTTCCACGATCAAACTATGTAGAAAAAATGCTTTGGAAATAAATGCTGGAATTACCCTTTAAGAAGCAAAGTGCTACAGGTTAAAAAAAACACATGTTGAGATGAGAATGGGGAAAAAATGCTTTTCTCTGAGTTTTTGATTTAGCTATTTGTAATGTACTACTTTCCTCCCCAGAAGTTTGTCTTATTAGCAAGATTCCTTCTAAGCCAGGATGGTGTCTTAATTCCTGATTTGGTGTCTTAACTCGTCACCTTTTGTGCTCCTTCTTTTCCACCTTCAACTGTTGTGTCTGTAGGTTGCTAATCACGGAAGCATGAGAGAGAGGACTGGGGAAACAACAGTGAGATGTTTTGGAAGGTGGTATGATGGAAGGATTGGGAAAGGAAAGGTCCATTTGTAACACAGGGTCCTTTCCATGGCTCAATCGTTTAGACGGCAAAGCACCATCCAGGGTTTGGAAACTCACCGACTGCTTCTCCTCCCTCAAGCAAGCTCCCCCAGCTTCACAGCCACAGGTGGGAGAGCCTTTAATTGCAGACAATGGCCACTTAAATAACTGCGCTAAGAGTTGCATTTAAATGACCTTTGGCACACACAAGTCATACTGCGACATTCCATTTTAATCAGCGGTTCAGCATTAGGTTACATATGAAGTAGGACTCTGCTGCATTCATCTGTCTTCTGTTTTATCCAATGATTGTCATGTTAATGACATCATTTAGAGATGCAAAGCAAGAGTACAGCTTCAAAGGTAAGGTAAAAAAAAATGGAATGGAATGGCTTCAGTGGTGACAGGCCAGTCCATATCAGTTATTAAACAGCAGTTATTTTAACCAGACTAGGGTGGAGACGGTTCTGTCCAGCATGTTAGGCTCACTGCCCAGCGAAAGCTCAGTCACACACACAGGCATTAAGTGGCCTTTGGATTAACTTAAAAACATTCCCCTTTCCTTGAAAGAGTACCATGATGGGGAGGGGGGGAGTGCAGAGAAAATATGCTTAAGTGAAAGTATAGGTACTGTCAATTTTGAAAACATTGTTGTGGGCACACATTTATTGTAAATATGGTGCTAAGGGTGTCTGCATGCTCTTTGTTACAAGTTACCTTTAGAAACATATCAGTTGCTCACTGAAATGTTCTGTTTCATTTCAGAACAGTTACATGGAAGTCCGTAAGCCAGTGTTGGAGCTGAAAGATGTTCCTCCCCCTCCGCTTCACAGTGCCTCGCAGCAGCCTCTTCCTCTGGCATCTCTCCCTGCGCCACCCCCCTGCCACCTTCCACCTCCTCCAGACCCACGACCACCACAGGGGCAGCCTCTGCCCCAGCCACAGCCCGGCAGCCCTAAAGTAAGCCTGTGTTCTCGCTGTGAGTCCAGCCTGCACTTCCAGCAATGCCCTGGCTCTCTTGAAGCCAGAGCGCACAGTTTTGGTGATGTTGGTGGTGGTGGATGTAGCATCAGCACCAACGCTAATGCTAACATTGGTGGTGGCCTTCCTGCACTTCACTTTTCTCACACACAGGGCAGCACCCTCACTGGCCAGCCCACAGTCACCCCTTCCTCCGCTCCATACCGGCCCTCCCTCCAGCTGCAAACCCCACAGAGTTTTGGGCTCCAGATGCCATCAGTAGCCACGTCTCAGCCCGTGGCGGCCCACTCCCACTGCTCCTGCTGTGCGAGCCTCAGGCCCCTTCACGTCTGTCCTTCTCTCTCTGTGGGCTGTGTGCAGTCCAACCATGTGCCTGGTTCTGCTATCTCATCTGGGTGCTGTCGCTGTAGCGGGGAGCGTCAGGCCGAGCAGCACTCCCACTCACATGGTGATGCATCGTCTTCTACTCACCTCTGCTCTAACCCTTTACACCTGAATGTCGAGCACACCACGGTCCACCTGAAGGGAGCACACTACTGCCACCAGTGTTTGAGTAAGGTTGGTGATACAATCTCTCACAAGCATAGCTTGATTTACATGAGATATGTATATGAATATATTGCTGCTGTCAGAAGAAAACCTTTTATCTCCTTTTATGTATTTTTTTCAGTTTTTGACATGATTTGAAAATGCTTGTAGCCTTTTACATTGTTGGACTAATGGACCAAAAGAAAAGACCCTTGGGTGGGGGGGGGTGTCTGAGTCCACTGATTTACATTAAAAGTAAAGTATGTTTTTCCTGCTCCTGTAGAGTTACCATTTTGGAGATACAAGTTTTTATTATTTTTTTTCTGACAACAGTGGTGTGTGTGTGTGTGTGCGCGTGGGGGAGTTCTCTCAGAGGAGAATCTTGTCCATCCGACAGGTGCATTCAGGTGGTTTATGCTGAGGTTGTGAAATGGGTGTTATGTTTAGAGCTTGCATTTATAGAATTTGGTCTTTTTTTACTGATGTTTTTGAACTTAAGCAAAGCATAAATAAAATGGGTTAACTGTACATGTTTAAAATGATGTTTATGGAAATTATTTGATTGCTTTCTGTTTTGGAATATTCACTTCTGTCCCCCTACTATGATGAAACCAGACCACTTGAATACAGCATTAGCATCAGAGGCTGGTGATATGAGAGAGAGAGAGAGAGAGAGAGAGCGAGAGAGAGAGCGCGCTCTGATTGGCTTCTCAGCCTAGTGAATCAGTGCAGGAGAAGAGAAATGCAAGTGAGCAAAGCAGGCTAGGATAGTTTGTTTTTTCTTATGTGAGGCACAGGGTGATTATCTTTCTCGTTTCCTTTCCTTGCATCTTTTCTTAATGCCTTAGCTCTTCCCTCTGATAATGTGAGGAAGACATGTAAGGATAAGTTGTGAGAACATAGAAATAACGTAAACGTGTAACTAATGAGATGTCCTTCACTCAGTTGTCACTTTCATTACCTGTTACTGGACTTGGCCATATACAGTGCTTTAGATTCTACTTTGTCATTGTGCACAGTACAGGTACAGAGCCAATGAAATGCAGTTAGCATCTAACTAGAAGTGCAAAATACAGTATTATTTACATATAAAGTGCAGAAGGACGGTATATAGTGTTAAAAAAATACGTGTGTGTGTGTGTGTGTGTGTGTGTGTGTGTGTGTGTGTGTATATGTATGTATGTATGTATGTGTGTGTGTGTGTGTGTGTGTGTGTGTGTGTATAAAAAAAAAATACAGAATGAGTGGAGAGCGTACAATGAGAGTATGTCCTGTGAGAGCAGCATATGTACAGTAAATATGTAAGGTAAAAGATAAGTATGCAGAGTAAACTTGTACAGTAATTGTTGGTGCAAATATGAATGGTGCAATAATAGACTGTGCAAATATGATTAGTGCAATAAAACTAGGATAAAGTAGAATACATTGCAGTGAGTGCAAAGATGCCGTTAAAGTGGCAGTGTGGCAGGGTCACAGCCTCGGGGAAGAAGCTCTTCCTGAGCCTGCTGGTGCTGGAGCGGAGGCTTCTGTAACACCTGCCAGATAGGAGGAGGGTAAAAAGTCTGTGGTTAGGATGAGAAACGTCCTTGATGATGTTCCTCTTATGGAAAATGTTCTCAATGGAGGGTAATATATCCTAGAGAAATAACTTGATCATTCTTTTGCACTACCATCTCATTAACTGGAATCATCCAGTGAAAGCACAGGGTGGTGGTGAATAAATCATACAACAGGCATACAACACCATCTTAAGGGCTGCTCCATTACTTTATTAGCTCAAGTAAAGTTTATTAGATGAGATAAAAAAAAAACGGACGTTGACCCACAAATTATTGCAACTTGATGCATTTCCCTTTTCAAACCTGAAAATAATGGCAGACAAAGCTGTTTAAGCTATAGCAATAAACCACATTGAAATGCTTAAGATTTCAAAACCATAACATTTGATTTCCTAGACTTTAGGTTGCAAACTACTTCATCCATGCCAAAGGCTACACAGCTAACAACAACAACAAAAAAGGCTCTATACCACATTTATTACACTGTCAGACAAAACAATAACTCTGTATGTCATGTTCAAACTTTTTTAAAAAAATGTTTTGCAGCACAAAGTTTGCATGGCTAGTCAATTGGCTTACTGACGCTAACCTACCTATGGGGAGTGCATTCAGTCTAAATAATCTGCTTTTCACTGTCCCCTCCTCCCTTTCTGCTGCGAGAGACCGCTTGGGTAGGTGTAGATGAGACAGACATCCAAGTGGTGAATTGAAGTGGTCGAGAGCAAACATTTTTTTTTTAAATGAGCCACAGTCTTTTGGTTTATTTTTTCACTACCGATATGAACTACTGCCACCTATTGGTATGAAGAGTTTTCCCAAGTAAACGCAGAATGTGCATGCAAACACAATGTGTTGGCAGGGAGCTATAGTCTTTGTGGCGTGTCAGTAAGGGATTCCCAGTCCAGTTACTGGGAAGACTCAGGCTCTTTTTGGTTACAGGTATTAAAACCTCAGCCATATATTGATAAACTATGATCTGTAGAGAGCGGGAATAGATTATCTTTGAGGACAGAGACCTCTGACTGAATGTGTAAGCATGCATGATACATTTCTTCATTTTGATGCATTTTTGCACATTTGTAACAAATGTGATCACAACAAGCTCCAGAGTTGAATTCTGCAGACTTTACCAGGGTCTTTGTGTGGTAGTTACATACATTAAAACCTAACTGAAGTTACTGTGATGGCACACTGGGGAAGCTACAAAACAGAATTTGATTCAAGTGATGTGTTTAGCCCGTGCAGGGTTTGGGCGCCGCTGACTCTGTGAAGGTTTGGCCAAACATCCCCCCTCCACAGGCCCAGTCTGCTCCTGTGCCTGTATGTAATGGCTGCGGAGTGCCTGGAGCCTCCACCGATGGCATTCATCTGCACACTACCAGCCTGGGCAAAGTCAATCAGAAGTATGGTCAGTATTCTGCAGAGCAGCTGGGCAGGGGTGTCTACCTCTGGTTTTAGAGGCCTTTAGTCCAGCACAGTTTGGTCCCTGTTCAAACATGCTTGATTCAACTCTGTACATAATTGTCAAGTTTAAGAAATGTCTTTAAGCTAGAGAGTCTCCACACTGTGCTGTATTATGGCCCTCTAGGACTGGAATTGATTCCTGCTGTATTGTGATTTATAGTATAGTTGACTTCTTTATTAGTTACGTACATGTGTGTGCGACTGCTGCTTTATTATGATTAATTTTTTATTCATTTTTATTAATAGTTTAGGTGGCACAGTGGTCATACTGTGCTTCTGTTACTGAAAAGCTCTGTTCTTTGACAGTAAAGTTGTTGGGTCTAATGCATGTCTGTTAGGCTCTCCTGAAAGCGGTGGGCAGGAGGCCCTTCCCCCAGTGGGTGTGTTTTGGGACATAGAGAACTGTGCCGTACCCAGCGGGCGTTCTGCTGCCACAGTGGTACAGAGGCTCCGGGAGCGCTTCTTCCAGGGCCATCGCGAAGCCGAGTTCATCTGTGTATGTGACATCAGTAAAGAAAACAAAGCTGTCATTCAGGAGCTCAACAACTGCCAGGTACACACACTCAAAACATTGGCGTTATCAGCTATCCAGAAAAGTTTTGTGCCTTTTTTTTTTTTTCCTTCATTTTTTTCTGCTTCTTACAGGTAACAGTTGCTCATATAAATGCCACTGCCAAAAATGCTGCTGATGACAAACTCCGGCAGAGTCTGCGGCGCTTTGCTGAGACACACACGGCTCCCGCCACAGTCATCGTGGTTTCTTGTGAGTCCCTCCTTAAAGTGACAAATATGAAAAATTGGTGAACCTTTAAATAAATGTTGACTTCCTCTCTTTCTTTTCCCTTGATGGTGGATGATATTTTTTTTTTGAGGCGTGAGTCTTGAGTGCTAACATAATGGAGATATGGCTGGAATTCCTCTGAAACATTTTTCAAAATGTCTGCATAATGTGTTAGGATGTGAATAAAGCCATTAGTGGTTTGATGTGAAATGACTTTGTTTTAGAGAAACGTGTGAAATTTCTTTACAGTGGTGGGGAACCAGTGGTCTGGCCAAAATGATCGGTGAGCCTACAAATGTCGCAAGTTTTTATGTGTAGTGTTGATAAAACAAACCCAAACCCTCATGAATTATAACTTACAATTTAAAAATTTAGTACACTTTTTTCCAGACTATCGCAAAATACTGTGTCTGGCATCAGGAAATGTATTTGTAACCATTTAGTGCAGAGGTCTGGTCTAAAGGGTAGCTTTTAAAAGCATTAAATCTTTGGACACCTAGATCATATCACCACCACTGTGAATGGTTATAAGTCTTGTTTTTCTGGGTCAGAGCGTTTCACATCAAACCACTCTGATTGACTCTCTATACATCTTAACCATTTAATTATGAACACATTTTTAAAAAACAGATGGAGTTTTGTTTTAAGTTAAACTAGAGCGTGTATCTCACTCCTATTAGCCAGCTATATGAAACTGGAAAGTCTGTGGGCCAAGCTCAGTAGTCATCCACCATATACAAAGAGACCACATTGGTTTAAGAAAATGATAGATCTTTCTGTTCGAGACTTGAAGCGCCTTTCAGAAATGCTCATTTGGTTCTCTCATCACTTTGCAGCTGATGTGAACTTTGCCAGTGAATTGAGTGACCTACGTCATCGTCATGGCTTCCAGGTCATCCTGGTGCATAAAAGCCAGGCCTCACCTGCTCTGCTGCAGCACGCACACCTGCACGTCCCATTTGAAGACTTTGTCTCAGAGCTGCCTCCAAGGATGCTTATGAAATCACAGGTAAACATTTCTGCTCCCCATCTCAGCACCTTAAATGTGGAGCAGAATTCTTTAGTCCACTTGAAACAAGTTTCTGTCCTAAAAGTGGTTCATGAAACATGAGTGAATAATCCACAAGTCTTTGCCAAGCTACAGTAAATGGACACCAGAAGAAAATGAATAAAAAAATAAGGCTGACTAGGTTTGATTTGCTCCGATATGTATTTTACCAGAGCGATGTGCTTGACGTTTATGGGCTTCAGCCTCCTCTGGCCTTTGTAAATCCTAACCTGCATGGCACTGTTTCAGTACAAATGCAGTGCAGCAATTTGGCCTTATCCCAAGCAACAGTCGTGAGAGCTGTAGGCTCTAGCTGCTGCATGTAATTATTTGTATACCATTTGGTGGGTTTATTTTTTATATCCCTTTTATTCCAAAGAGGTAGAATAGAGACAGGAAACGAATCCGAAACCCATTAGACTTCTCAAGACCAGTAACTTCCCCAGTAGAGCAGTCTCAGAAAACCCAGAGTTGCTCCCTCTTTCTTTGCTTCCCCCAGCCCTGTTTCAACCTCCTCTTTGTGCACAACCTCCCCACACACCGCGATGCCAAGGCTGTCAGTAGCAGGCTTCAGCGCCTGTCAAATAACTGCGGCGGGAAAGTACTGGGTGTATCTGGTGGCACTGCCGTGCTCCGATTCGCCAGCGCTGAAGCGGCGGAACGTGCTGCAAAGCGCATGGAGAATGAGGACGTCCTGGGGAATCGGATCACCGTCTCTTTTTCCCCTGATGGGCCGCAGCAGGAGGAGGAAGAGGAGCGGATTCAGCTCCCCACCGCCTCCTCCTCCTCTGCTGCCGTGTTCCTCCCTTTGGAGAAGCCGCGGTCACCACGGCGCCCCAGACGGGTGTCCCGGTCCTGCCAGAGCGGCAGAGATGTGGGGGTGAACATTCCGGAAAGACCTTACAGCCCAAGGAAAGGGGGGCATGCCTCTTCCTGCAGCCCAGTGATGAAGCTCCTCCCCCAGGTCAGCAGTGCTCCTGCCGCCTCCACGACGCTCCAGCCGTTGTATGCTCCGCTGCCTGCCTGCTGTGCAAATGCATGAGGCTCTGGGCCCACCAGTCGGTCGAATGTTCTCTTACAAGCACAACTTAAAAAAACAGCATTCTGTTTCCAAAAAACAAAGCAAAATGCTAAGTTGGTGTGCTTTTAGGGGTGTAAATATTGCAATCATTTGATATTTTGCAGTTCTTTAGGGAACAATTCAGCATTATTCTGCATTATGAAAGCTGAAAGTTCTGCACAGTTGATTATGTTGGCATACGACCATTCAAGCAGTGCATCTGATGCAGTAGTGCTTATTTACATCCCTATGTGTCATACCTGTTTGTTTGGAGTTCTCCCAAAGAATGCTATGCCTTATTGGCGTAGGTTAATTTGGTTTGCGTTTTTTTTTTTTTTTTCTAGCAAATGTAAAGCTGTCTACTGATGTTGTGTTTGTTGGAGAATGTTGGAACAGTGTGCCGAGAGTGAACATGCTCATGCTGAGTGTCTGTGTTACCCTGCTTGCTCTGAAACCTCGTCCTGCCTGCGTGCCTGCAGATCCCAAAGGAACTCTTTCCCTCCCTGGTGCTGCCTTGCTGCTCTAACCTTAACATCGATGACTTGCTGTCATGTTTTGTATCATAGGTTTGCATGACTTCCTAAATTTATACAAGCTTAAAATCTAAGCTTGTCTAACCTAACCTCTTTTTCCCTTTAAATTGCTCCTCTTTTCAGTCTCCCTCCATTTTTCTTTGTGATTTTTCCACTGTAGCTGAGTTCCATCCATTTTAGAGAGCTTGACATCATTGTAAGAAAGCCTGTCTTTAACTGCTTTTGTTATATGAACTAAGATTCCACTTTCAACTGAGATTTCAGTTAATTGGCTTACCAATTAATACACAAAACTCTTTAAAACAAGATGTCATGAAGCAAGCAAAACAAAGTAGTTGTGGGAGTGGCTTTCTCGCAGTAGCAGTAAAAATGTGGCTGATTGGCCCTAGACAGTAATCTTTATGAATTAAACGAATTCCCTTACTGCTTTACTCACTAAACCCAGGATGTAAGTGGTGTGGAGTCTAGGCCCAGGACAGGTTTCGCTCTGGAGAAAAGCCGTGCTGCATCTGCATCTCCTCAAAACAATGGCCTTACCTCACAACTGCAGCCTGCCAAGCCTGGCTTTCCCACTGAACTTCTCCACCGTGGCCGCAGGTACTGTTCCCACACCACATGCAGAAAAAAGCAGACATATTAAAAGTAAACAAGACCCTTTGCCCTTTGCTTGTCATTGAGGTGACCGCTTATAGGAGAAGCATAGAAACGTTCTTTACTTTTAATGTATGTCAACTTTATGGGACTTTATTACAAGTTTCTAATGGTTATTTCACTGTAAGGACAGCTGATGTTAAGATGGTGGAAAAAAGACAAGGAATGAAAACAACAAAATTTGCAGGTTTTTGATGTGCCTTTTAGTGTGCTGGGTGGGGGGAGGGTGATGGCTCTTATGTTTCTGCATTTCTTGGCTATGGATTTGAACTGAAGTGGCAGTGTAATGTGGATTCTAAAAGTTCTCTGCATGTGTCTGTAAGGAGAGACTCATGTAGCCTGCGAAGTGTTACAGACTCTCCCATGGAGCCATTCCAGGTGAGCACGCCGTCAGCCTTCAGCAAACTCAACTTGCACACTTCCTTCAGCCCCCTGATGTTCTCCCAGGGTTCCTCAAGGTGGGTGTTGCACATTTTTCTACTAATCTACCTGCGCTTAAATAGTACTGCTACTGGCAGCAACAACACTTAGGACAGTGCTTTTTAAACTTGTCCTTTGGGACCCCCAGTCTAAATTTTTACATTTGTCCCTTAATGTTGTATTGAGCAAAAATCTGAGCCATCTAGTAGGCCCTAAGGACTGGTTTGAGAACCAATGCTTTAGGAAATGGTTCAGCATTATGTAGTCTCATGGCAGTATTATTTAGGAAAAGTTTAGAAATGTTTTGAAGAATACACTGAAAATGTGACTGGATATACATGTACCTTTTTGTCTAAAAAATTGAGCACATACTTTAATATTTTGGCGAGTATTGTTATAATCCCTTATCAGTTGAATTGCCACCTTTTAGATGCATTTTCACACACCTAACTGCTGCATGCAACCTTCTCACTCTCTCTGCTCTCTCTCTGCTCTCTCTTTTTCTTTTTCTTTCTCAGGAGTACATCACCATGCTTGTCAAATCGCTCGTCCCCACTGAGTGTTCCGTCTCGTAGCCCCTGCCCAGACACCCATCCTGAGCCATTTTCAGACGGCGCAGACATCCAGGTAGCCAACCTTGACTACAGGATGTCTCGCAAAGACCTCCAGCAGATTTTGCTGGACACTTTCGCCAAGCATGGCAGGGTCAGTGAGAAATTGCTGTTGCTTTTCTGCAGTTTCTAGGCATAATGTAAAACTTCATACGTAACAAACTGGGGTTAAACAGGCAGGCAAGAATTATTTTATGCCTTTAAGCTGATACTCACTATATCCACTCTTTATGTATGTGATTAATTTTTATTTATTTATTTTTTATTTTTTTCCATCAGGTGAAGAGTGTTGAGCTCAGTCCTCACACAGACTATCAGCTCAAAGCTAAAGTACAGATGGGCTCCTTGCAACAGGCTATAGGAGCCGTCAGCATTCTTCACCGGTACAAGATCGGCAACAAGCGCATTCATGTCTCCCTCATCACCGGGGCAAATAACAAGTCTCTTGCCTGCCTCAGGTACTGACAGATGTTTTGACCTCCAAATGATAATAGGGATACACAATGTATTGTTTAATTGTTCTTGCCGTATTGGCCTTTGTAGTAGTCATATTGCCAAGGCTTGCAATATAAGCTTTCAAACAAATCACTTAATGTCTTAAACCATGCCACGTTAATGGTCTACTAATATGATTTTAATCTATTGAAAGATATATGTGCACTAATATAATCACAGAAGTTGCAGCCTTGATAGCTGGCGGTGACTGGAGCTGCAGTGAAAGCCTGGAGGCAGCATAACACTAGGAGCCTAAATACCATTTGGTGTTAATACTGTTGTCTTTTTCTTATATCTGAATAGAACCACGGTACCCATTACAGTGAAAATCAGAAAATACTCTACATATCTGCTGCTTCCATTCACAGTTGTCTTCCATGCCAGAGAGAGGCACTAATGTTGTTGCTCTCTCTGTTTTCTCTACAGCTCGGAGATCATTAGTATTCTGCAGGATTCTCCAGCCAACTGTCTTCCTCTCTTCAAATTCACTGAAATTTATGAGAAAAAGTGAGCTTTTTTGGCACTTATATATTCTGTGTTTTTCACAAAATTTTGCGAGCACAGTCAACAGTAGTTAGCAACATATTTATTAAATGTTGTTTAATAATATTAGTAATAGAAGAGGTAATGTGAAAGAAACAATAACGAATGAAGAAAACAATGCTTTTTGCACACTTGAAATGCATTAATGCCACCGTACAAATTTAGTAAATCTGGCCCAAATATTATCAAATTGACAGTCATTGTATTAACAATGGTCTGATTACTAAACGTTCATTTTGAAACACTGCTAAGAAGAAGAAGAAGAAGAAGAGTTTGTCACTTCCTTAGCTAGATCCTGTGTAGGATATGTATCCATGATGCATTAACATACGCTTCACACATTTCTGTAATTCTTAAATATTAGCCTAGCAAGCACCAGAAAACAGTAGTTGGGTTTAAAACAAAAAAACAACCCAATAAAACAGAAAAAGTAGTGGTGTCACTGTAAGAGATTTTCACTTTTCAGATATGACACACACAACCAGTGTTTTTGATTTTTGAAGCTTATTTGGTGGAGCATAGGCTTTTTATCAGTGTAGTTCTTTTTGTTTTTTTTTTGTTTATTTTTATTTATTTATTTTAAATGCATGTTTCCCCTACAGGTTTGGCCGTAAGCTGGTGGTGAGTGAGTTGTACAGGCTGCCGGAAGTGGTGGCCGTTCGGGAGCAGGGTGGAAGTCGCTTGGTGTGTCTTCTGTCCAGCAGCCTCGCTAGACACAGCCCCCTGGGCTCCTCCCAGTCTCATGATGGATCCTCCACCAGCGGCAGCCCTGTGGTGTTTGAGGAGCTGGAATATCACGAGCCTGTCTGCAAACGTCACTACACACAGCACGATTTCAGGTAAGACTACTGTTGACTGACCAATGTTTATGTATTTGCAATACATATACAGTCACAATACAAATATTTTATCCATGTTGTGCATCTGTAGTCAAGATTACCTCACAGTCATGTTATTGTGTGTGCATGTGTCTAGTGAGGCAGACTATGACCCTGACACGTACAAGATCCCGTTTGTGGTGGTGTCTCTGAAGGCCTTGGCTGCTCATGTGCACAGCCTGTTGCAGTCTCATGAGGGAACTGTTCCCTTGCTCAGGTAAAACATCTGTGCTTATGCGTGTGACACAGCTGTTAGCTGTTAAGACTCCTCTGGGGTCGTCCTAAAGTTAGGACAGAATTTAGGAAATCTTGTCTAGTTAGGATGTTTCTGTAATACTGTTTTCTTATCTGAAGTTAATGGATAAGCTTATGAACTTAAGAATTGTTGTTCTGTAATCTTCTGTCCTAAATTCAGTCCTAACTGAAGTTGTCATGGTGACTAAACAGATGAGATTTCACACTTAAGAGATTTCTGTAATAAGGCCCCTGATGTCTGAAGCGTTTGATGCTTTTAAAGGATCCCTCAGAATTTTAATGACATGAAATGGTTACGATTACGCTACCTGATGGCTGAGGCTTTTTTTTAATAGCTTATATAGAGAAAAGCTTGCTTATTGCAAATATTGTAAAGAAATCTGAGTCTGTAACTTCTCTACAATGCACCATTTCACATCAGACCCCTCGGAATGACTGTTTTTTCTTTCATTATTAATATCAGTGGTGTTCCTCTTTAACTGTGTTTGTAGCAATTATATAGGTGCAGTGTAACTGATATACTGTGCTAGTTGAGTTTGTAGGTTTATAAGCATTGTCTTGTCAGTGACAAAGTGGTCAAACTACTCAGCGAGTAAGAATTTTATACTACCAATACATTCATCTTTATTTCTGTAAATGTAATGTGCTCTTTTCAATTCTTGTTTGTTAACTCAGTTTCCCAGAGTGTTATGCAGCAGAGTTCAGTCCGCTGACTGTGGCGGAGGAGGGGAAGTTGGAGGGGAGCGTTCCATTGGAGCACTTAATCACCTGTATACCTGGCATCACCATAGTAACTGCACAGAATGGTTTCAAGGTCATCAAATGGATTCACAACAAACCCCCACCACCCAATGCAGGTGGGTGTATGTATCTAAGGTTTATTGTATTACAAAGGAGTCACTGCATTAACTAAGGCCTTGGTGCCCTTTGAAATACTCTGCCCTTTCATTTAACGGTTATAAATGCATATCATGTTGTGACATTTGTTTTGCTACTGATGGTGTTGTAGCGCTGAGCTCTCAGGAGTAATAGCCTGTTTCTCTTTGTCAGATCAGAGTAGACCGATGCTTTATTTTGTCTCTCTTACTGAAACACTATACAACTGCTTGGTGGAGTTTTCCTTCCAGAGCAGATGGCAAGGCTGAGGCTAGTGTGGGTGGACCACATGCTGTTTCTAAAAGGCAAACGCAAGGGATAGAGAATGCTTTATAAGCAAAAATCTGTCAGTTTTTTTCTCATTCCACATGCAGACTGCCACTTTTAAATTAATCCCTTAGCAGTAAGCTTGATGTCTGTTATGAAATGTATATGTAACCACCAAGGCATTCTGGTTGGTCAGATATGAAAATTTGTGTTGATCTGACAAACATTTGACCATTTGCATAAGTCTGACAGGTCCTGTCTCACTTAGTAACTGTTGGAACTTTCTGCTTAGGCCAGCTGGTAGCACTTCTGCTAACAGACTAAAAAGTGCAGTACTTAATCAGGTTATTTAATCTCGATTTGAGTCATTTTACCTTAATAGTTTAATCATTTTAGCTGAGAGTGTTGTCTTTGACCTAGTTTAATCGAAAACATTTGCAGCTTAATGTAAATTACCACCACACTCCAGAGGATCAGGAAAATGTGTCTTAATTACATTTATCAGTAATGCCTTTCATCTCTTAGCCCGATAATTATAAGTAACTTACTCACTGTGTTCACTTCAGGTGTGTCCTTAGGAGTTTTGTTAAGTATTTCCTTGGCTTAATGGAGGAAATAGTGCTTAAAGACAGTTCTGGTTGGCTGAGAGGTATCTCTGTCATTATTTTGTTCTTTCTGTATGCACTTGAGTAGTGTGTTGGACTGAAGTACATAAAATTAGCAGCCACAGGGAAGACAGTTTTTTTTTTTTTTCTTTAAGACTAAAAAAAACTTTAAGATGAGTGAAAAACACATTTTAATTTTAATGTGTAATTTTTGGTTGTGTGTGCTGTACAGACCCATGGCTGCAGCGCTGTAAGAGTCCAGTAGGTAACCCACAGCTAATCCAGTTCAGTCGGGAGATCATAGACCTGATGAAGAGCCAGCCATCCTGCCTGATGCCCATCACTAAATTCATCCCAGCCTACCATCACCACTTCGCTAAGCAGTGTCGAGTCTCTGATTATGGCTATTCCAAACTGCTGGAGCTGCTGGAGGCCGTACCGCACGTACTACAGGTTGGTTTTTAAAGTTGTTAATAGAGATACACAAAATTACTCATTACTGGTGTGTGTGTGTGTGTGTGTGTGTGTGTGTAAGAAACCGATTTCTTGATGGCCAAACTGGACGATGGATATGTATGTATGTATGTATGTAAAAACCTTTAATCTAAAGCTCAGTTTGTGTAGGGTAAATGAATACAAACACACTGGCATATCTGGTACTTTTTAATTGCCACACTTGCAATATAAACAACATTTGTTTGCTTTTAAATGAGCCAAACTCACACCTTTCTTTATCCATTTAAAATTAAACATGTATGATCTTGGGCGATTCTGATTGTGCATCCTACTGGTTATGTCTGATCTTTTCGCAAACTTTATCAAATTGCTTTTGTGTGCACTACAGATCTTGGGCATGGGCTCAAAGCGGTTGCTGACCCTTACGCATAGGGCGCAGGTGAAGCGCTTCACTCAGGATCTGCTTAAACTGCTCAAGTTTCAGGCCAGCAAGCAGGTGGTCATCAGAGACTTCATGCAGGCCTACCACTGGTCAGTCGCACTCACATTCTCTGTTTTTGAGTTACTACTAGCCCCCTGCCTTTGCTACTTTGCTTTTGCATGACTGGTTTGCCAAGCTTTTTCACTGTTTGCTATTTTAGCAGTTTAGACTTCATGGATGTAAATCTGTGTCTAGAGAAGGTCTTGGCACAAAATCATGAAATAGTAACAATGGTGTGTTGGCTAGATTGTGTATCATACTTTCCTTTGTCTGAATGTTAAACTTTGTACATGGTGACAGGTGCTTCTCCAGAAACTGGCGAGTGGTTGACTATGGTATTTGTGACCTGATGGATCTGCTGACGGAGATTCCAGATACCACAATCACTATCACACAGCAGGACTCTGACACGGTCATATCCGTGCCCAAGAGAGGTGAGGATTTGTTCATCCCCTCATCCCGCCTCCAAAAGAGCACACAGACTTCCTTTAAAGGGGGTTCCTAGGGACACATTCTATGAAAACTCAACTAAGCTTCTGGTGATGCACTGCAGATCCTTCTGCATCCATGTGAGAAATGCCTTTCTGCAATTCTGCAGAAACAAAATACCTTTTCCTTTGAAGCAGAACGGTTTTGCTATGCTCATGTACAGACCGTGGATCCTAATGCTCCCATGTGAAACATGACTTTTCCAAAAAAAGAGCACTTTGTTTTTAGAAACAGGACATTGTTATTCTAATGCATGTCATTTGTAAAGTCCCAGAGAGGTACACCAAACAGGCTGTTTCACTGTGTGTTTACGTCTTAGAGCGGACAGTAGAGGAGGTGGAGCGCACAAAACAGTTCGGAAAGGAAGTTGTGGATCTGCTGCGGCACCAACCACACTTCCGTATGCCTTTCAGCAAGTTCATCCCTACCTACCACCATCACTTCGGCCGTCAGTGCAAGCTTACATATTACGGCTTCTCCAAGCTAATGGAGCTGTTTGAGGCCATTCCAGATGTGCTTCAGGTAGGTGGGCAGCCTGCTATCATAGCTAAATTTGAATACAGTTGTTTGAATAAAGAGATTTATTTGCTTTTTGGTTTAACCACAACACAACTTTAAGCCTAGAAATACATTCCACAATTTTTTCCCAAGGTATTATTATCTTTTGTTTATTTGTGCATTTTTTTTTTTATATATATATATAAGTACTTTAGTTCATCATTGATTGCAAGCTTTGTTGGTTACTTTTCTCCAGCTTGGTTTTTGTTTTACCTTGTGCAACACTTACACTGCACCCACTTCAAGAACAAATACATGTGACACAGAAAATTGCAGTACACATTATTAGTGATTAAAACAATATGTAGTTTGGTGTAGAAAAAAAAATGTTTAGTTTAGCCTGTTTAGTATAAGGTACTCTCGCAAGTCTGGTGTGTTCATCTTTCACTGTTTGTCCAGGTGCTGGAGTGTGGGGAAGAGAAGGTTCTGGCTCTGACAGAAATGGAGCGGGTGAAGGCTCTGGCAGCTCAGCTGGTGAAGCTCCTGCGTGCTCAGAGAGATTGTAGCTTGCCTGTCAACCAGCTATTGGCTGAGTACAGCAAGACCTTTGGCTATGGCCTCCGCCTGCAGGACTATGATGCCAACACACTGCCCGCTCTGCTCTCTAAGCTCTGCCATGTTGTCAAGGTAAACAGCAGCACAGTTTTTATTGCTACTTCATTGTGGTATCCCTTGGTAATGTACATTGCAGATAAATGTATAAAATTAGAGTGAGAATGATAAAAAATGCAATTGTAATAAAAATTAAGTGTGTGTGTGTGTGTGTGTGTGTGTGTGTGTGTGTGTGTCCAGAAATATTTAATCTAGATAATTTTGTAATGGTGATCCGGTGAATCTTTTGCCAGATAGCTTGACAAAAATTATTACAATAACAGTTTGTGTGTATTATTTGTTTAACTCTCTGTTGTTTCCAAAGATGTCTGGTTTAATATTTAGATTATTTTAATATTTAGATCTAAATAATCATATAAGAGATTCTAGTCATTTGAACAGTAATGTGTAGCCTATTGAAACTACAGAAAATAGTGCCATGCAGTCAAGGTAACAGCCTTTGGTCTTAAGCTGTGATTGATTTTACTGATTCCTGCAGTTCCAAAAATGCTATTGCAGCTTGTCGCTGGTCAGTTAGTTTTGTCTTTTTGTCTGCTTCTCTTCTCAGGTGGTAGACGGAGCTGAAGAGAAGGAGGTACAGCTCATCAACAGGAAATCTCTGCGTGCACTGACATCTCAGCTCCTGGCTGTCATGATGTCCCTTCCAGATGAACACAATTGGCTGGGAGTAGAGGCACTGCGCAAGCAGTACGAGTCGATGTATGATACTGCACTCAACCCCTGTGAATACGGATTTGTCTCACTCAGTGAGCTGCTCAAGAGTCTGCCTTACTTGGTGGAGGTGTGTGACTATAGGTGTATAGATAAGTGATATTCCCCTCCAAAATTAGACGTTACAACGTGCATGTACATGAACAGCATATCATGCATAACAAATCTGAAATAGAAATGTTTGGAATGCGGTACCTCTGTGTGATGTTAGAGCTTTGTCATCATTCAGTTTTCTCATATGTCCCAACTGTGTACTTATGGTTGTGAATCTTAACCCTCTGAAGTGGACCGTGTCACAGACGACATGAAAAATTATGTTTTATATATTGTTTATTAACTAATCATTAATTGTTCGGTCTAGAGACTTGCTGTTTTGTTTTGCTGTGGAGATCAGCTTTGCAAAAGAAGGGGGGTGGATTTCAAACCCCTCATGGCTTTCATAGTTTAGCACTTTTTTGGTTATTTTGTTCAGGCTTTAAAAAAGCAGTTAGTGGACGTCTTCTATTGTTATTTGTTCGCCAGTCATTTTTTAAAAAAAGCAGCAGCTAGAAAACGGGGCTTCTAAATCCATCGCATCTTGTTATTCAGTCCCTACACCAATCAGTAATCTAGTCATTTAGAATACAGTTGTGTAACATTCTGTGGTTATTTATAATAGGGGTGTTATAGGGAAAAAAAAATGTCTTGGACCTCAAAAGTCTAAATGATAGTAAATCTTAGGTATCTAAGACCTAGCACATAAGTACATATTGATTGTTGTGTTTTTTTTTTTTTGTTTTTTTTGTTTTTTTTTGTCCTCCTTCCACCAGCTATTTGAGGGTGAGAGTGATGATGGTAGGGCTGAAGAACGAGTAAGGCTAACTCGCCTCTACCAGTTCGCCAGAAACGTTCGAGCCCTTCTACACACCTACCACTACAACCAGATTTTCCTGACCGAGTTTTGGGGCGCCTTCAGCAAGTACACAGGACGAGAGTTCCAGCCTCGTGATTATGGATACAACACTCTGGATGAGCTTCTGGCAGCCGTACCACAGGTCAGTTCAACACTCATTCCCGTAAAAATCCATTTATTTTAGCGCAGGGGTCTCTCCAGAGATAACTCCAGGAAAGGAGGGCAAATAGACTAAAAAGCCTTGAAATTCAGAAGATTTAAACAGTCTAATTTATTTTGGTGCTGTTGTTTGTGCATGTATTTTTATATTTATTGCCTTTTAATTTTCTTTAACAGGTAGTGTGGATCAAGGGTCATGGCCACAAGAAGATCATAGTCCTGAGGAATGAAATGAAAGGTGAAGACACATTGCTTTATACACAGTGTGATGACATTGTGATGGGACTTTATTTAGGGCCTGAATGTCTGAGTGTAGATCACTTGTGCTGTTTGCTTTGTATCTAAATTCAAGAGTTAGCAAACAAACTCTGGTCTCAGCTTAGGAAGCACAGAGTCTAGCTGAATAGTCATTAATGGATAAACCTGAAATGATGTAATTTATTAAAAATATATTAGATTGCTCAGCAGTTATTCAGACTTTGTTGTGATGTTTTGCAAAATATAGTTCAATATTATATTGGGATAGTTATTAATTAATAATTGATTACCTTCTGTGTGTGTCTCCAGCTCGTAGCAGCCCTGCTAACACAGAGAGCCCCCAGCCTGAGGAGGTCCGAGAGAGTCAGAGCCCTGCCAGCACTCAAGATTCTGGCACACACAGCCCAGGTAAACACAAATACACCCACATGCAGGGGAATATACTGCATCATCAAAAAGTTTCCCTGGCAGGCTTCATGCCTGTAGGAGGAGGTGTTTATCATGTGCTGGTATAAACATGCAGGAGAGAAAACTGTTATAGTTGGGAACTGATCATGATGTTGAAGTATTATACTGAAAAAATAAATTGACCATTCAACCAATCCATAATGGATTCCACTCTGTTAGCCACATTTGTATAGGGGTGTTGATCTTTATAATTTGATTTAAGAGCCTTTTCTCTGCATCATGAAATCTCAAATTTCACATTTTGATTTCATTGTGTTGGCACAATTCAGAGCTATTTTTATAAATTCACTAAAGACGCAACTAATATATTTAACTGATATTCGAGCATCTGTAAGAGGTATTGAATGGATATCTGATTAACTGCAAAAGAGGAAAATGCTACAACAAAAAGGGGAAAAAATTACTTTTGGCCAAAATTATAGGCTTACTTTTTAAATTACTTTGCTGAAGGTTGATATTTGGCAACATGTTTTTTATTCAGCAACATTTTTGTTATTCAGCAACAGCCATTCATTGGGTTCTCATGGAAGAGTAATGATACAACTAATTGGACACTAATAACACTCATTTGATGATTGTTTCTCACATTACAAAATTGATGCAGTTGAATCACCACCTTCTTTTTGAACTCCTAGCTGATTGACTAAACTCTTTAATTTCTCATCTTTCTGCCCCCAGGTGGCAGCACAGGTGATGCAGAGCTGCTGTGCCTGAACTCTGCCTCTCCTGTGGACCTGCTATGTGGGCCAGTTCCGTCCTGCCTGCCCTCGCCTCAACTCCACCCCGACCCAGTTCTGCTCCAGCACAAAGACCTCATCCGCTTCGAGGAGCACTCACACCTCCAGCCTCCAGAGGGAGCAGGCCAGTGTCAGCCAGTCCACGACCGGCAGCCACAAGCAGCTCTGACACCCAGCAACTATACCCCAGAGCGTCATGCAACTTCAGATATGGAGAACGGAACGCCGGATGCATCCACCACTGTCACCATTGTGTTAAGTGTTAGCGACAGCTCCTCCTCTTGTGTTCAAGACGAGATCGGGTCGAAGACTGCTGATACCAATTCACATGGTACAGCAGACTCGACTGTGACCATGCCACCACAAGCTCCAAACCTCAAACCCTCAGCCACGGACAGCCCCAGCAAGAGACCCTTACGGAACAAAGTCAGGCTAGCGGCTAACTTCTCTTTCACCACAGCCCCTTCAGTCTAAAGCACTGTTACCCATATCAGGTCCTGGCAAGTCATAGCGTGACATGCTTTTGTGTTTGCCCTGCTCAAATATACCTAGTACAGTTCTTGAATGGCCTAGTTGAATTGAATCAGCATGTTACAGCAGGGAAAACGCTGAACTTGTTAGTGCTATGGCCCTGCAGGAATAGGTCTGAGTAACGGTAGTCTTAAAGGTTCACTGTGCAAAGCTTCTCCTTGTGCCACCAACATTCTGCTGCTACTACGTCTTTTGCTTTGCAGGTCATCGGTTCAACACTTATTCGCATTTATGTCACATATTTAAAGCCTTTTTTTTTTGCACCAAATCATGTCGTTCTAAAGCCATCAACAGTCTTGCGGTATTGTTTATCTTCCTTAAAATTACAACCTCAATTTGTTTTTTAGGAGGGAAAAAGAAAGTAAGTGTAAAAAAAGAAAGAAATAAGTTAGCTGTAACTCAGGCCTCAGCTTTTAATGTTAAAGGGTACATCCACCCAAAATAGTTCTCTGTTGCTTTGGGAATCATGAATGTATTAATTTTTTTTGCCAAATGAATTTGCAACAATGTGAAGTTAGACGTTAATGACATTTTTAAGTTCTCTGACCCTCCTCTGCCTGCACACAATGTATTATGACTAAAGGAGTTGTTTGAATCATAGTCATATCTATGAGACAATTTTACAGCATCGTAATAGTTATAGTTAGTTATAGAAAAGAGAAGCTCAAGAATACGTAACCCAATGTTTTGCCTTCCTTTGTTTTTGTGGGGCATCTGTAATTAATTCTGTAGTGTAGAATTCTTTAGAATTTTAAGATCTAAATCTGTTTTTCCCCCAAGAGCTATTTTATAGTAGTTTTCAAATGTGTTACTGCATGGGTCTTGAGTTTTGGTGTAACCAAATAGGATTGGCATTTTGTTAAACATCTTAATGGTGCAGTTAGTTTCACGTCAATGGCAGTCTCAGTTACCAGACGATACCTAAGTGTTAGTTTGATCTAGGTTTTCAGCCTTCTAGGGCTGGCTGACTACAGAACATGCATGTAGGATAATGTCGAGGTTGTATGGTGGAGCTCCTCAGCCAGTTTAAAGCATGCCCTCCAAAATCTTAGGCAGGTTGGCGTATGCAAAACTTCTGAGTGCTGGCTACAGTGGTTGAAACGGAGGTGCTGAAACCCTTCGTTGCTGCTGGAGGCCAAGCGACAGCTCCTTTTCGGTTTTAGCGAAGTAGACTGCAGCTTATACCCAAGTAGGATGTTTTTGTGTGAAATTTTATATGCACATGGTGCATAGATAATTTCTTGTGTGATGCTTAAAAGGATGTGACTAGGTTAATAAGCTGCATATCGTTTTAATTGGTTTGTTCCATGCGTTTTCACCGCTGGATTATGCTAACAAGAGCTTGTATTCATCTTCTTAGCTGTTCCTTGGGAAATGCCAAGGTTGTTTTCTTTAACCTTGATCAGTTTCTTTGTCTGTTGGTCGGTTGGTCGGTCGGTCATTCACTGCTTATTCTTGACAGGGGAGTTCAGCATGTGTAATTTATATGCAAGTTGGGTTTTAAAGTACTTGGAGTGGTGGAGGGGGTTGGAAAATGCTCAAGATGAAACATCATGGTATCAGAGGGACGCACATAGGCCCTTTTGATTTTCTGTGGACTGAGCCAGGCTTTTACAATGGCTTGTATCAGCCTCGGCACCATGGGAGAAGAAGAGAGCAGTGCTAGAGTGTTTTCCTTCCCCTACATCCACCCTCACTGTGTTTATAGTTTGTAGATTTATTTCCACGTGAGGTCATTTTGTTTAGTGTTTCGAAGACTTATCCTGCATGGTGTTGATGCTGGGCTGTCCCAGTAAGAACCTAGATTGAATGTCTGAGCTGCCATTAGGGTCTAGATTAGTGCAGAGAGGACTGAAAAGGCGAAGTTGGGATAATCTTCCCCAAATGACTTCCTTTTTTTATTGTGAGTGTATGCAATTCATTTTGAAAATGTAAATGTCAGGATGGGCTCTGGCCTGTTGGCCTCAAACTTGCCTTTTTATTTGTAGGTGTTTCAGTTTGTGGGCTTAATGTAATTTAGTGCAGTCTAATTATATCACTGTGCTTTCAGTTTTCCACTCCTAATTTACTGACCCGCCAGCACAGGGTGGCTGCATATACGTCCCAAGTGATTTACTTTCATCCAGGATGTTTAAGTGAGCATGATTAAAAATTCCGACAGGATCCTTTAGAGCTGTATTTTTAAGAAGATTATCAAAGGCCTGATATTTCTTTATCGGAGACAGCAGCATTGCTGAGTCACACCGGCCTTAAGGAGCCCTAAATTAAACATTAAATTTGCTGTTTGAGGACAAACCTTCATCTAAAGCTGCACAGACCTTAGTTACAGCTAACTTGGAGGACAAAAAGTAATATACATTTTTGTTGGTCTGTCTATAAGTAAGTGCTATCCTTGTTTGCCTATGCACATTTGCATAGATTCATGCTGTATTATTTGGTTGAGGTTTACAAAAGAAAGTTAAGTGGAGAACTTGTTGTAATTCACTTTCGTACTTGGTCACAAGTGCTGTTTAGTTGCGATGTGGCTCCGTTCCAGCGTTTTGTTTCGTCGTTGTGATTTAGCCACGCATGTGTTTCAATGTACTGTCTCTGTGCAGTAAGAGCAGTTGAAACAAATGTATTCTTGGTGTTTTTGTCAAAAATTGGATGTGTTGGATTTAACAGTTCCATCTCAGTTTATATAAGCAGGACTGTTAGGTTTATTTTTCCCTATTCAGTTAGACATCTAGCAAGTACCTTAAATTTGGAAACTACTTTGAGGTAAAATGATGCCGAGACCCAAGATCACTGTATAATAACTGTCCCATCAGCAGCAGAATGTTGCCACGTTATCCTGAACCCCTCTGTCGTACAATCTTTAGGTTCTTCTGCTAAGTGAGCTTAAGTTGCATGTTCTTCACTGTATTGTTTCTTCATCCCCTACTCGACCTGCTCCCTCATGGAATCACTGTAGCAGTTTCACTCTTTTATGGAGTGATCAAGCCATTTCTGTTAATAAATTTCACAAGCATCAGTGTAGTCTCCTGGATTTTATTTGTGAAACCAATTTGAATATGTTTATGACCTGGATGTTAGTGATTTTTACACATTTACTCCTTGTGAAAACAAGTTCATGAAAATGTGACCACCTTTTAAAAAAAAAAATTCACCATTCCAAACAGCACAAAGCAAACACAAGATCCAGAAAGATGCTTTTATTTAAACATATATTTACAGAAAATGTTTAGCGTTTGTGCATTTATCCACACTCTACATAAGGACCATTTGGTAGGACTACAAGTCTCAGAAACAAATGTATCATTCCTGAAATTTGCAGTCCTACCTTTCTGGACCAAAAAAGCTCACAGACACTGAATGAGTTAAGATACTTACAGCAACAACATAAAGAACGACTAGCTTGCAAATTATTAGGTATCTACCCTGCATTTATTTACAGATAAAGTATCTTGGTGGATTGTGAACTGAGAACAAATGTTACACAGCAGTAATGGAGAATCTGAAATGGAATCCATGAAAAGATGTAAACATTGTGAGAACTGCTTCTCTCTGGTCATGTACAACCACAAAATCACTGAGAAACCCAAAGCTGACACTTAGCTGACAGTTAGAGCTGGAATTAACCTAAGATTCAACATTGTAGAAGTATGTCTACACATTAAGAAGGAAATGTTTGACTTTAGACGTGTCTTCTGCTACTAGCTAATTCAACTTGTGCAGGGAAATCCTGTCTGGTGAAAAGTATAAGTAATTTTTAAATTCTGTCTTTATGCTACCAAAGCCTGAGTTTTGTCTTGTCTACAAATTCTGATGCACTGCACCTCAGGGGTGGGCAATATGATGAATGGAAATTTATCACAATAATGATAAATGTCACAATATGATTATATAAATTTATATGTAATTATGCATGTTTCATTAGATTTAGTGCAGTGCAGTATGTGCAATGTGGAATAATCATTGTTCATTGTAGTTTTTGATTGTATTGTTTTAAACAGGTTTTTTTGGTGTTTTAAGTCATCAAACAGCAGAAAAATGAAATCACAATGCTTATTGTGTACTGTGATGGCATATATTTGCCATATTGCCCACCTCTGCTGTTCCTTAATGACTTTTACAATATTCTGATACAAAAGCCAATTCAATTTTAGTCAAACATGTTCTAAAATAATCTAACATAACCAGTGACAGATGGAAATTGGCAGTTTAAGTGAAATAATTGCTGTGGGACATTAGCAATGCTTTATGTAGCCTCATGAAAACGAAACACCGAGATAACTGAGCTCTGGCCTGCAAATAAGAACATGACAGAACTCCAGATCTTCACTTAAAGGGATGAAATAAATGCATATATGTGTGTGTATACCCGTTATTAACTTCAGCGCAACCACTGTGTGAGATAAGGTGGTATAAAACGGTTGCTTAGAGCTAATGTATTGTCAGAATATATTGTGCTTGAAGTGATCTTACCAAACACATAGACAACCACTGATCTCTGCAGTGCGCCAATCTGCAGTGTTTCTTCAATGGACATTAGTTTATGTTTAGACTTCTCCACAAACTGGCCCCAGCCTGTATGTTTCATATCCACAGATTCTGGATTTGAATCAGCATTATCGGAAGTGATATGGACAGCTTATTTGAGGTGGATCAAGTGACATGACATTGGACCAAAAGGATTATGGCCAGGTTTCTCTCCCTATTTAGTGCCGGCTGATGATTTGAGTAGTTCAGATAATGAACTTTTTTTTGGCCAAGGGGTTTGATCTTCAGAGGTATGTTTGTAACAGTGTGTTGTTCTGTAGGCCTGTTTTCCACGGATGGTCCATTAGATTCAGAAATGAGTCTAGCTCTTTTCATCAAAGCGTTCCATGTTTCACCACTGTTATTCACCTTAGTGCCCCTGAACGATCATGTGATTTTTAAAAAATATCATCCACAGGACACTATGCAGGGGTACTAAAACCATTTACCATCTCTACCATACCATAGCCCAAAATGGAGTATGTCAATTATTCTGTTCTCTCCAGATTCATAAAGGACATTTTAAATTTCAGTGCCTTTTTTGAAACTTTTACAGTCAATCGCCCCACTTTTGCTGCAATTTCTGACACTAGAAAAACTGCTCTTTTGCTTTTAGCATTCATTAGAAGGTGGCACCTCTGATAAGAGAAAAGGCCTCACAGCCAAACAGAAGAGATCCAAACTCTGTCAAGATTTCTCAACCAACTTCGAGATCCATCATTCAACAGAGCTTCTGGAATACAGCTATTTCTAGAACATGAGTCTAGATTCCTGGCCTGCACAAAGAAGCTATCAGTAGATTTTTCAGGGCTGAATAACACGTTATGTTAGAATGTTCATCAGGTTTTTACATAAAAATAGGTCTTTCATGGAAAAAATAATCAATTCATTGATGAATAATGGCACTTCTAAAATGTTAGGCAACTTAAAGATGGCACCAAATCTGCTATACGAAAGAATGTCTACAGCAACCTGATTAACCCCAAATAAGAAAATCTTTTCCTGAAACATACTGACTGTAGCTTAAAGAGGAACAGAGAGATTTACATGATGGCACACTGCGTGGCTCCACAGCAGTCTTTTATGATGGCTACACTAGTCTTGGTAATGGAGGGCTTGTTCGCGGGAGGCTCTGGGGTCGGCTTTTTCACTTTGGGAGGACCTGAGAAAGAAGAAAGAGGATGTTTAATCACAAAGGCTAATGCTAATGCTAAGCACTGGCTGTTGGCTGACAAAATTCATCAGATTAAAAATAGCATATCTATTTAGTTCAGTGGCACAGCTGCTGAACTGCTCATTTCAGACAGCGTGTGAGATATTTGAGATCAAATCATCATATCTCTGCAAATCAGAAGGTAAAAAATCGAATTTACACAATTTTCCTTAAATATCAGCCAAGACATGTTTAGTGTATGAAGTTTTCATCTTTAAATTTGCATTGGAGCCAAAAGGCTAATGTAGCTAACGCATAAAGCTTAGAGCCACCAGGTTAGCATTGTGCAAACTGAATGTTTAAATCATGTCGATTTGTCTGTTCAGACCACGCTTTCAACATGGTGGTAGTTGCTGGAGTTCTGGGCAGCTTCTGCCTTTAACTAGAAGGCCCCCCTCATAGCTGACGCAGGACCGAGGAACAGGGAGAAGATGGGGTGGTGGTGAGGGCTGTGAACCCTTTGTCACAGGAACGGAGGGTAAGGATGTGAATTTATAAGCCATTAGATTAAATTAGAGGAGAATTAGAGATTTCAGGCATGTTCCTCCCCCAGGATGCAACAGAGGCAATTTCCTGAAAACACTATTCATTTCTCTCATAGAGATTAATGCTCAGGCCTGGAGTACTTGTCTATACATGTCTATAAACCCAATGCAAAACTAAAAACTTTGAACACCAAACATGTCTTGGCTGATCAACTACATTTAGGAGGAAATTTGAATACATTTTATTTTCCAACTATTGCTGGAGTTTCCCCTTATTTGCAATAGGGCTTTCAAGGGCCTGTCATCATGTCTAGAAGATGCATTGATTCTATTACTTACGTATTTTATCACAATGTGATACAGACCCGGCATGGAGTGCCATAATAAGACCTCAGACTGAGAAAACCACTTTTCTCTGTGTGATTAAACACTCAGTCATATAATTGCTCATTTCTTCAGAAAGAATGGAAGCAGAGGACAGAGCGGTTGTGGCATACTTGAAATGCCACTTTGCCCTTTGAAATGAAGGCCACCCACTGACTAATTTTGGGCTGTAGTGATTGCTAAACATCATTGACCTCCATGAATACGGTTTGAACTCAGTGTGGTTTATGCAATAGTTTGAAATAAATGACCTGTCTATCCTGCGCCCGAGTTCAAAATGTACAAGAACAAAAAAGGCCAGGATGTGTTTGGACAGCAACTACAAAAATGAGAGAATACTCCTTTGTTCTGTGTCTGGTGGAACATTTGGCCCTTAGAAGTCATTAACATCTCAGATAAAAATAATGATGGTGATTTTGTCAAGGAGTCAATGTCACAATATCACAGTTTCCCCCTTACTCCAAATCAAGGCAATCAGCCGAGACATTCAGGTTATGAAGTTTGCTTTGCTAATGCAGGGAAAATGTACAGGCAAATGTATGAATGGGCAAAATCCAGGCTTCAATGAATCTGCTTCTACTGTGTTTTTGCTATGCAAAATACTTCTTGGTAACACTTTACTGAAGAGCACCATTCATAAGACACCTACATGACCTTTCATGACAATTGACAAAACCAGGTTATGAGATTGTTGGACATCCTATTCCAAAACCATGGCCATTAATGTAGAGTTGCTCCCATCTGCAGCCATAACAGCCTCCACTATTCTAGAAAGGCTTCCCACAAGATTTCAGAGTGTGTCTGTGGGAATTTGTGCCCATTCAGTCAATAGAGCATTTGTGATGTCAGGTGATATTGGATGAGAAGGTCTGGCTCAGAATTGATGTTCCAGTTCATCCCAAAGGTGTTCAGTGGGGTTGAGCTCAGGGCTCTGTGCAGTCCACTGGAGTTCCTTGTCAAACCATGGCACTGGCCAAACCCAAGTTCATCCATAAGACTGCCAGACATTGAAGCATGATTCATCACCCCAGTGGTGGCATGCTTTACACCTCTCCAGCCGACACCTGGCATTGTGCATAGTGATCTTAGGCTTGTGTGCAGCTGCTTAACCATAAAAACCCATTTCATGAAGCTCCTGATGCACAGTTCTTGTCCTGATGTTGCTTCCAGAGGCAGTTTGGAACTCTGCAGTGAGTGATGCAACAGAGGAGAGGTGATTTTTACAGACACTTCAGCACTCAGCAGCCCTGCTCTGTGAGGTTGTGTAGTCTACCACTTCACGGCTGTTGTTGCTCAGATGCTTCCATTTCACAACAATAGCACTTACAGTTGGCTGGGGCAGATCTAAGAGGGCAGAAATTTTACAAACTGATTTGTGCAGAGGTGGCATCCTATGACAGAGGAGAGGTGTCCACATACATTTGACCATATAGTGTATATAAACATCTTTAAAAGCTTATTTCAACAAGTGTCAGTTGCCCCTTTGTGGGGTGAAAATTGGCAAAAGCAGCCTTCATGACAAACGATATATTGAAAGAATCCTTAATAAATGTTTATGTAGGTTTATGCCAGTTGTCATTAAAAGCTTTTGTAGGTGTCATGTAAGGCTTACAAATGTTGTCTTTCAGTCCATCACTTGTTAGCTGCATTAGCCTCAAAGCTTAAAGAAGCTGACTGACTAAATTTGCTGTAAACTGTGTACATTTTTGCCAAAGTAATGCTTTAAAACATATCTACGGCCATCACTGGGCTATGCAGAAGTATGTGTTGGAATACTCACTCTGCGCGACTCTGGCCAGCTTGTCCAGCGGCATGAGCTTCAGTCTGAGGAACTCCGCCATCTCCTTGTCCTCCTCCTGCTCCCTGTGGAGAAGAGAGGATAAGGAACAGGTGAAGAGGAGATTGTGAGGGTGAGAGGTGGATGAGAGAAAAAGGCAGGGAACGGAGAGAGAGAGTCGGAGTTAGGTGGAAGAAAACAGAGGGGTGAGATGCGAGACGTGAAAAGAGAAAGGAGGAGGGAAGGAGGGAAAGAAATAGAGTAGAAGAATGGCAGAATGAGTCATAAACGCAGCGTGAGAGCTGCTGCTGGGTCACGGAGGTGTTGATGAGCGCTCTCTCTCTCACACACTAATGAGCTTCACAGTTCTCACAGAGACCGAAAAACTGTTTCTCTCGTTTCATTTTCTTCACGGTTCGGTTCACTGAACGTTATCTGACAGAGGCCGAGAAAAGGGCTTTCAGGGATAAAATGTAGGTCTGGCATGAAATATGATAACCATGCTAATTAAAATGTTAGCTAAGAAACTTGTAGAAGTAACTGTTGATTTCACCAATCAGAAATGAATTAAGTATGCCCCGTTAACTTCTAACAGTCTGTTTTAGAGCTGGAAGCTGAAATGATACGCACAATCCAAATAAGGCTCCTACTACTCCAAATTGCCAAACAGTGAGCTAGCATGAGAGAATGTTAGTTAGCCAGCTGGGGATATTCCTCGATTTACTTTTATCATACAGAATGTGAGATTTGGTCACTGCCTGGTGTGCATGCATTTCTACATGTGGGGGTAGAATCAGAGAATGTGTAGTCAGATTGGGTCTGTAGGTTCCAGCCAAAAAGTGATCAAAACCCACCAAAATGCATGGAGAAACACCCAAAAAAGTACACATCATAAAGAGTCTAAGGTCATTTTAAACAAAATATATAATTTTAACAATATGACACCAATGATAAACTTCTATGTATGGTATTCTATGTATGGTGTGTTGGAAATTTGCATATAAGTATTTAAAATGTTGTTAGGTGGTACTGTCAGTCTTTTCACCTGTTAAAAAGCTGCCAGCGGGCCATAAATCAATCATATTGCATACACAGGGATTTAGCTGACGCATTACAGATCCAGCATAGGCAACCAAGGTACCACAGTAAAGTGTAAAGTCTCCACTTTCCATGCACTTTTCCATTTATTCTCTAATTACATTAGAAAAATAAATATTTTGATCACAAAACACCTTGCCACAAAAAGTTTTTAGGACAAAATATTTGGTGAATATTATGAACGTTCATATTTTTCATAAAGCCAATTTTGACCAATGTGGACATATTATACATCAAAACGAACAGGCGGACTCTCAGGATTACGGTGATGAAGGCTTTTTACTCTAAAGCCTAAGACTATCAAAATAAAAGCCATAATTTCAATAAAATTACTAAATTATCTAATTTGTATATTATATTTCCATAGCTTGCAGAGCTCACACAAACTCATCAGTTTTTTCAGAGTATTAACATTGTTTTAATGCACTGTATAAGGTTAAAACTTGCTATTATAGCCAAACTCTGTACAGTCAGTAATACCACATGATTCGGATAATCTATGCTATGTCAGGCCAGTACGCACATTCATTACATTAATAATAAACTGCGTACGTTAATCGTTGATTTTGTTTACGAACGATACAGATAAAGGGAGCAACAGCCTCCTTTCAACAGGAGTGACTAAGATGTATGTCAACCAAAGTTTTGGGGAGATGGTAGGCCTATTCAAATTTCAGCTGCAAAAGAGTTTATTCATTTCATATTTACTTTTTAAAAATCCTCCAATATAATAACAAACCAGCCCAAATTTTGTTAACTCTCCAAAGCACTTTTCCCCCACCCATCCACCGAATTTGACAGAAACCCAGCCAAAACTATTAATAAGAACTGCCACTCAATAATGTCCTCCTCATTTGTCAAACGCTGAGGGCGCTCCTGAGCGAGTCCAAAACTAATTACCGCTTGTGCAAAATCATAGTTTGTGAAAGTTCAATCATTCTTACATCGTACAGTGCACTTACTTTCTGAACACAGGACATCGTAGGGTATTTCATCACTGCTGTCATATTTTTGAGTGCTTTAGGACTTTCTAACAGTGCCTCATGCATGTTTATTACATTAGTGAGCACAAACTGCTCTACTCAGCCAGTAAGCTGATCAGCTAGCCAACCAAGCAGTGCTCAGTAGCATTAACACCGACCAATCAACACCCAGTAGCAGTAGTGCCAACCAATCAGCACTCAGTAGCAGTAACACAAACCAATCGACATCCAGTAGAAGTAATGCCAACCAATCAGCACTCAGTAGCAGTAACACCAACCAATCAACACTCAGTAGCAGCAAATGCCAACCAATCAACACTCAGTTGCAGCAATGCCAACCAATCAGCACGCAGTAGCAGAAACACCAACCAATCAACACTCAGTTAACTCAGTTGCAGTAATGCCAACCAATCAACACTCAGTATCAATAACGCCAACCAATCAGCACTTAGTAGCAGTTTCCTAACGCCAAAGCCTGTTTGCTGTAGAAAAACAGAAAGATAGGGGTACGTTTTCTCAGATTTTTAAAATGGAATACATCCATCTACCTTGCAAAATTAAAGAAATAGTTAGAGGCAGGATTAGTTTATTGTCTTTTAGCTGTTTAGCTCCTCTTACCCTCATTCATTGAGGACTCACTCGCGGCTCTAGTACCGTGATTATATTGAACATGGTCAACTTTTAGACGCTCATCTCAAGTGCTTCAATGAACACTAGTTCATTTTAAAGCTTAGTCGTTCTGAAAGATAAAATACTGGGTCAGTTTCAGTATCAGTACTGGTATCAAAATAAGTATAAGTAGTATCAAGCCATCTTTCGTACACTGGGTCTTGTTAGTCACTACAGAAATACATGTCAAAACATTTTCCTATCTTTACTAAATATTTTTAAAAAATCAAGATATTCTTTAGAACATTAAAAAAGAAAAGTATTCACTCTAAAATATTTGGTTGAACAGCAGTACAGGCTGTACATTCACTGTAAATGAAAGCTAAGCCAAGCGGGTTCCCCAACTGACATCAAAGATCTTTGTGTGTGTGCGTGGGCATGTGTGAGAGTAAGCTCCTTATTATCAGGGGGACTCATCGTGTAGGCGGAGGGGATAGCTGGATGGTGGGGGGTTAATAACAGGTGCAAATCACCACCTCCAGTCCGCCCCTTTATTTATCTATTTATTTATCTGTTTATTTATTTATTTCTCTCTCTATTTCTCTTATATGCACATACCTCAGTCTCTCCACTTCAGCATCGTCCACCAGGAAGTCCCTCTTTTCCACCAGCTTATGGATCTTCTGAATCAGCTCTTCTTCCTTTTGCTGGTGCTTCTTGCTCTTTTCCTTTTCTGTGTGTGCAGAAAAAAATTAAACAAGACAAAGACATTAAAGGAGAATTCTAGTATTGGTATAATTATATGGTTAAGATGTAAACAAAGTCATTCAGAGTGGTTTGGTGTGAAATGCTCCGTTCTGGAGAAACTTACTGAGTCAGAATTGTTCGAAGTGGTGGTGATAGGAACCAGACAGCCACCTCTAAAAGCTCCCTCACAAAACGTTATTACATGAAATGATTATGTATGTACTTTCTGTTGCCTGAGACATTGTTTTATGGAAAGTTTTGTGAAAAGATTTCATCCGTTCATGGTGGACAATACATGTAGGGCACTGTAAGGCCGAAAAGTCCCCAAAGAAAATTTGTTTTTATTAGATTTACCACTATTTTACCATCATCAACACTGAACATAAAAACTCAGAAGACATGTATGGGTTCACCAGTCATTTTGAATAGTAAATAAAATGTCTAAAATGTTGCATCACAACCTCTGGCTCTGTCGCCACCACTGTAAAGAAATCTGTGTCCATAAGTTTCTCACATTACAAAGCAAATAACTTAGTTTACATCCCAACCACTGAATTAAGCAGAAATTTTGAAAAAAATAAGTGGAATTCTCCTTTACACACATCAGAGAATTATTAATGTGTTATTAATATATTGCAAGGCATATCGCAATGTGACTGTAATGTGGTATTTTGTCCATATCATGCAGCCCAAAGCTAGTCATAACAAATTCAGAGCCAAATCACTGTTTGTGTTACTGGTTTCACTCAAGGTAAGAAATAAGACACACATCCCGTCCATTTCTGAAAACTCAGCTATACTTAATTCCTTTCACACACACACTGATATGAGAGGGTGGAGAGAGATGTTTTAGAGGGCAGGAAGTGCCAGGTCAGCCTTTTTTTCTCTTACAAAGAGAATTTGATCCTGAAAGCTTCCTTTCTTTGAGACATGAAGATGCACTCATATACGGACACATAGTGAGGCCTTCTCGCAATTACTCCCCTCCCCCACATCTCCCTGTCAGACAATAACACACGTCACACGCACTCCTCACTGACGGTCACATAAATGTCAATGTCACAGGTCAGATAAAGCCCCAGACTACACTTAAAGGAGCAGCTCAACCAAATATGAAAATTGTTAGCTTGTCTATTCTTGATAATGTAGCTCTCGATCTAGTTGCTGTAGCCTGTCAGCATCACTGATCTTGGTATTTTAATCCTTCTTCAGCCCATATTATACATTAGACTGGCCAGCAGCTCAAGCTTAGTTGTCCAGCAAGTCTTTTGTAGCTATTTCCAGAGCGGCAGTTTGCTCTTGATCTTGTTCCCATGTTCTCCAGGCCTAACATCACAATCAGTGACGTGACACATTTTGGCTGCTTTACAGCAAAGTTTTCAAAAGAAAAAATAGGCTGATGATGACAATAGGCCTACCTGCCTCGTCTTCATTTTCAGCAGCTGTGCCCAGAAAAAGAAAAGAAAAATGAGAAGACACCGTCATCCCAGTGATTAAAATGTATGTTGCGGGCGAGAATGCGTACCTGGCACTGCCACAATCTTGCGCAGCTCCTGCTTCAGAGCCATGATGTCTTTGCACAGCTGAATGTCATCCATCCTGCGGAAAAAAGACAGAAGAGAACTGTTTTCTTTTCTTGCAGACATTTTTTTTTTCATATTAACGGTGTCATGTCCCAGCAGAGAGCTCAGCTATGAGCCAAAATATGATACATCTTCTGTTCTCTTGTGTTGAGAGTGATATACACGCTAGTCCTTGCTCTAATAGTGTTACCCTTTTCTCTATGAAAAGCCAGCACATATTTCAAAGCAGAAGCCCATCAGAACTCCCTCAGATCTTCCCCTCTTATAGTTTCACAATCAATCTGCAAACCAAAATCATTGACTGATGGTGCTTTCTGCGCTCACAGATACTTTTTTATTTCATTTGTATTGGAAAAGTCTCATTTAACCAAGTAAAAGCCACACAATATCATGTCATTTCTAACCATCCTCTGTTTACCTTCTAACCTGATCCGATTCCAATAAAATTAGTGCTTTCATTTTAAAGTGGACAAATAATATCTGTAGTTCATTAAATTATGAGCTAACAGAAGGGTTATCATTGGAGAAGAAAGTTACAGAAGTTAGTAAACCCCTTTAGATCACAGCCTTATTACAAAAAAAAAGCCTAAAGCTTATTCAAGAATTACACTGATCAGGCATAACATTATGACCACCTCCTTGTTTCTACACTCATTGTCCATTTTATCAGCTACAATTCTACAATTACAGACTGTAGTCCATCTGCTTCTCTGCATACTTTGTTAGGCCCCTCTTACCTATTCTTCAGTGGTCAGGACCCCCATGGACCCTCACAGAACAGGTACTATTTGGGTGGTGGATCATTCTCAGTGGATCAGACACAGCAGTGCTGCCTGAGTGCTGTGGACAGCGTCCTGTGACCACTGATGAAGAACTAGAGGATGACCAACACAAACTCTGCAGCAGATGAGCTATTGTCTCTGACTTCACATCTACAAGGTGGACTGACAAGGTAGGAGTGTCTAATAGAGTATACAGTGAGTGGACACAGTATTTAAAAACTCCAGCTGCACTGCTGTGCCTGATCCACTCAGACCAGCGCAACACACGCTAATACACCACCACCACGTCAGTGTTACTGCAATGCTGAGAATGATCCACCACCCAAATAGTACCTGTTCTGTGAGGGTCCATGTGGGTCCTGACCACTGAAGAACAGGGTAAAAGGGGCCTAACAAAGTATGCAGAGAAACAGATGGACTACAGTCTGTAATTGTAGAACTACAAAGTGCACCTATATAGTAAGTGGAGCTGATAAAATGGACAATGATTGTAGAAAACAAGGAGGTGGTCATAATGTTATGCCTGATCGGTGTACATGGAAAACAATGAAATTGGCTGAGATTAAAGGAACACTTTGGCCCAAAATGAAAAATATGACTACGGTTTCTTTTGTTGCGAACATGCCGACTCGCCTCCTACTGTGGTGCAATAGTTTCCAGAATGAGACTGTCAGGTTTAAAGACTAAGAAAGTCCCCTTCTGATGATGTATCCTGAAGGTGGAAGGAACTTATAGCTGCGCTAATGTTACTGCTTGGAAGCTGAACATCATATCAGTGGCTATGCTAGCAATCAGGAATTCTTTTTCGCCACTGGGTGAGACTCCTAATGGTTAAATGGTGTATTTGTGTAAGGCATGCTGGGTATTATAGTGAAAGGTCATTGATGAATACACATACAACATATAAAAGTGTGAATTCTGTCAAACTAATGATACAGAATATTACAAAAAGTTAATTATAAAAATATTAAATGCTAGTTTAATCAGCTTTAGGGGACAGAAGTGGTGATTAATAGTGTGGACTAGCAAATTTAAGGGGTTACATTTTATTTATATGTAATTTCTGACAAATCAGAACAATTCAAACACTTTTATAAAAACCAAAAAATACGAAAAATAAAGTGATGTCCTCGTGACCAACAGTTATTGATGTAAACCATGTGAAAAATAAAGTCCAGAGTAAGACTATAAGACATTGGGGTGCTGTTATGTAATCATCCGTCGAGCCGTGGCTGGGGGATGTGGGTGGACATCAGAGCGATGACTCACAGCCCTCAGTGTCCGGACCTTTCAGACCCATCTAACAGCTTCAGTCCCAGCTACACATCACCACCTCCATTCTGACTGATCTTATTTCCTATTTAACCCCTAAACCCCAGGGGCCTGTACGTGGCTCTACACTGTAATATCTCCCTCAGAAAGAGTAGGGCTGTTCCAATCCACCTCAGATATGGAATAACAGCACCTGCTAATAGACACGGCTGTGAGGAGTGTTGTTATTGTTATTGAGTGTGTCCTGTGGCGCAACTCTGATATGAACACCTGGGCTGTTACCTTTCAGTCTGATGGAACTTATGCAGATACTTTATTCTGTACAATCTGCCAAGCAAATCACAACAAACTACACTACACAACCACCTCTGATAAAACCCAGCTATAGAAGCGCTTCAGTCTTGTAGCAGTTACTGAATGATAAGCGTTTAGATTTTAAGGGGGTTAAGCTCTGCCTTATCTGGACACTCACATTGAGATTGCTGTCTATTTTCTCCCTCCTCTCTCTTCTTTTCCTTCACTACCCCCCTCTCTGTCTGTTTCCCTCGTTCCCTCTCTTTTTCTCCTGCACCACAGTGACAGCAACCAGGCACTTTAATCCTCTGAGCCAAAGCAGCAGATGACTCATCCACTCACCACCTCTCTCTCTCTCCCTAGCCTATCTGTTTCTCTCTCGCTCTTCTCATCTTTGTTTATCTCTTCTTTCTGTTTCTCTATCTTATTCAATATCACTACCTCTCTCTCTCTGTTTCTCTCTCCCTCACTCCATCTCAATTTTCTCCCTGCCTCTTTCTGCAGTGTATCTCGATCTCTCTCTCTCCCTTTCTCCTCCTTTCTCTCTCAATCTTTCCTTCGTCTTTATAACTGTCTTTCACTTTTCTCTTGCTCTCTCTCTTTCCATCTATCTCTCCCCTCTGTCTCCTCCTATCTCCCCACTTCTCTCTACCTTCATCTGTATCTCTCTCTCTCTCTCTAACTTGTCTGTCTCCCTCACTCTTCCTGTCTCCTTTCATCTCTCCTTCTTTCTCTCTCTCTCGCTTTCACAATATATGTGAAAGTTCTCTCTGCTTCTTTTCCACTCTCTGTCTTTCTTTCTTTCTTTCTTTATTTATTTATTTCTCCTTCCCAACTCTTTCTGTTTCTCTTTTCCTTAATCCTACTCTCTTTCAGTCTTTCTCTTGCTCTCTCTCTTATCCCTTCACTTCCCTACACCTTTATCTCTTTCTCCAACTCTTTCTCTATCTCTTCATTTACTGTTTATCTCTTTCTCCTTCCTTCTCTGTTTCTCTCCCTCCTTTTTAACCTCTTCCCCACTCTCCTTTTCCTTTAACCCGTATCTGTCTCTCTCACTCCTTGTCTATCTAGCTTCTCTTCCACTGTTTCTCTTGCTTTCCTTTTTCCCAACTGTTTTTCTTTTTTCCTCATTCTCTCTCCATTCTTTTAATCTTTCCCCCTCAATATCTCACCCCTCTTGTTCTGTCTCAACTGTCTCTATCTCTCTCTCTCTTGTCCACTGGTTCCAGTCCCCCCTGTGTTCTGCTCCTCCATCTGCTCTGTGTGAGAGGGTGTGTCTGTATTGGCGCTTTGCAGTATTCAGTGACGCACTAATGCACTGCCCGTCGAGTAACATTTACTCTGCATCCTCCAGAGTCCTGTCCCGGAGCCCAATGTGTGCTCATAACCCAGAGCAGTACGGCTGCATTAAACTGATCACATTAAACCGATGCGATTTAGCCTCCCTCGCTGCTCCGCAGGAGGAAATAATTAATCGAGTCGGAAGCTCCGATGAATGTGCTCAATTGAAGTCTTGGAAAAAGCACAGAAGACTGTGGGCGTCCCGTGAATAACATCATACACATTAAACAATGCACAGGCAGATGCATATGCTTATGCACAGTCATATAGGTCATATGCAAATAATCTGTTATTAGAACGCACAGCTGCACTGAAAGGCATTCGAATTTTGCAGCATATGAATACAGTACCATGGCAAAGCATTCACCACTGTCTCCGTTTCGATTTATTTTAGCTAGGGATGCACAATGATATTGGAATCATATCGGTATCAGCAGATAATTACTTGAAAAAAATGGCTCACAGAGTGGGTGTGGCTATGTGTTCAGAAGACCTGTCACTCCAAATCAGCTGACCAATAAAGAGTGCAAGTGAATGCCCTCTTCTAAGACCTGCCCCTTGTTAAAAAGTGCCAAAAGTCAGAAGCAAAAGAAAGATTTCACAAAAAAAAAAAAGAAGCAAAAACTGGCAAAATGAGTAATACATATATGTCAGAATGAGTGAAAATGAGTAGTAATCTTTTTGAAAACTTAAGTTTAATTTAACTCTCATTATTTGTATTTGCAAAATATTTTTTGACATTTTAATACTTAATACTTTGCCGTGGATTTTATTGTTTTATTTGGAATTTTTGTTATAAAATTAACTCCGTAGTTAACTATGAACTGATTAATGATGCTGAAGCCTGAAGAGCTATAATATTACTCAACATAAGTATTTATAACACTCATTTTTAGCTATTGCTTATTACTTAAGGAAGCTCAAAATAATGGTCAGGCTTAAACAAAGTGTGTTTTTGCTGTGATGGTATCATAGTTCTTGTTAAACAGAACCTTAGTTTGTCAGAACACTGCAAAACATTTTATTGTTACTGTGCTTCACATTTATAGACCACATTTGCTCATTAATTGAATATTAGTTGATTGATTCACACAAGTAATCGACTATCAAAATGTAGATTTTTTTTCATTTAATTGCATTTGTAACTCATTTGAAATAAATGTTATATTACTCCTTAATACTACTCCAGGTAGATGTAGTGCCAGTTTTAACATTTTTTAAACATTTATGTATCAGCATTGAGAGATATGTATATGAAGAATATTGGATATTGACATCAGCCCAAACATCATCAGCGATAACAAAAGCATGTTAAAACAGAAAAATTATGTCGAAACTTCAGCTTCTAAACTTTCAGTCGACACCACATGTTTGTAAGTAGAAGAGGGGAAATTTCATTATAATTTAAACTTGATGAAAGTTTGTGATGAAGTAAAAAAAAAATTCCTTTACAATTTTGCCATGATTTGTGTCTTTTTTGACATCAAAACAAATGGAAAAAAGTCAGATGTAGCTGTCAATGCTGGAGAGATACTGTATGTAAATGTAATTAATTAAATAAATAACGATGTAATGAAATATGTAATAACATAATTACATATGAATAGTATAGCAAAGTGAAAAAAATCAGATTCTAAAGGTTAGATGTTTTATGTCCTTGTCATATAAGTAAATACACATTCTCCAAGCATAAGAAAGTGATTAAAATATATCTTTATGCGTATGGTGGTCTGGGACCCCCACTGAGTAAAGGCAAAGATGGTATCAAAGGTAGTAAAACTAATTATCGCACTGTTCTTTTTTTCCACAGGCAGCAGTGGGTTTCATTACTTTCTTTCTTTAATACATCAAATAAATCTTAGCTTTCTCAATCTCGTATTCATCTGGGTTCTCCATTAATCAGATTTCTAGGTTTGGTGAAAGATCTGGGAACATTCGGCTTCACAAATACCCAGAATATCAGAAGGAGTAAAACACTTGTCCATTCATTTCACTGTGCATATGCCCATGCACACATGCATACATACATGTAATCAGCTTTGTGCACCAGTGTGAACTGAATGCATAATGACTGAAGAATCTACCACGGCTCAGTTTTCCAGATACAAATGAAGGCTCTCCATTGGAACTGCACTGTAAACGTTCACTGAATTCATTGAAAATCTTCTACTCTAGCACTAGGCCATTGAGCCAACGACTATGCCATTTTTCCCATCTCTGATATAATTGTGGATTGCTCTGGCCCACTATTAGGCTGGTGACTGCTGATCTTTGTAAATCTTAGACCAGTGGTGCACAACTCCGGTCTTGGAGGGCTGGTGTAGGGCACTTTGGCAACTTTCCTGCTCAAATACAGCTGATACAACTCATATGTTAATTGCCAGGTTTAGTGGGTGTGTTTGAGCAGGAGGACAACCAAACTGTGCTGGACACCAGCCCTCCAGGACCAGAGCTGTGCACCCCTATCCTAGACAATATATACCAGCTTTGCCCTTTGAGATAACCTTTCAGATAACCAATGCTAGAGTGGGTAATCTGTGAGCTGGTAGTGTTTTGCTCATGTATAAACTCATACACATAAGCACAAGAATGTGTAGACAAACTACACATTTACTACACAATTATCTAGAACCGCCATTGCCCGTACAGTTCTTATTCTTGTTTCCACCTAAAATGACGTTGCAGTTTGGTGGCATGTAAGTACTGCCCTATTTAACATGCAACAGAAATCCAACTAAAAAGCTAACATCAGCCTTAGGGGTTTTTTGTAGTCTAATTTAGCGCAATTGCAAGAATCTGATGGACAGTGCTCTACAGAGTTCATTACTTTTTTTGCATTACAAGTGTATCAATTTTCATGTGAATAATGTGCAAATGGACAGCAGCAGCAAGAAAAAAACAATTCAGACAAAGATCAAAAAGCTGCTTAAGGAGGACGAGGACATAGCTGAGTAAGAGGGCAGTGAGAAATGCTGACCTTAACTTATTTAGCTGGCATTAGTTTGTAGCATTTATCGACTGCCATGATTTACAATAAAAGTTGTCTCCAGTTTTAATTTTATCAATAGCCAGACCCCTATCTCAGTGTAGCATATAGATAATAAATAAAAGTATAAAATGAAGAAGATTAAAATTTTTAGATACAGATATTTTGCACAAAAGCAACCAAACCACTAATGCTAAAGGTAAACCTTCAAGCTTCAAGACACACTAAAAGGGTTGTAGCATCTTGTCATGGCAAAGCTTTCAGCTGTATCCTTTGTCTTTATTCACAAACTTATCTTAATATTTAATGAAAGTGTAATTTAATAAAAAAGATATAAACTATACAAATTCTGAACTCTGCACTGAAATTTCAGAACATTGCACTGGGCCAGAAATCAATACAGCTGTCCTCCAAACATTGGAAGCAGAGTTAGAACAAAATCAAACAAACAGAAGCTTACGGCTGGGCTTGATCTGTGTCCAGCACTAAGGGCCAGCATGTGTCTATTGTATTTCCAGTCACGGCTATTAGTGTTTGAAGGAAATGGAAATAACAAGCTTCTGTCTGTATCCCCTAAAACTGGGCAGTGCAAATCGGAATTACACACCCACACGTGTACGGTGCACAGTGGGCAATGATTTGTTTTCCTCACATGAAGCGCAGCTCAGACTCCCGCCTGACCAGCACCTCCCTGAGCCGCTGGATCCGGGCCATCTCCATCTCAATCTCGTCTGGAGACATGGAGCTTTCAGCCATGGACACGTCCATCTGACCTGTAGAGGAACACAGACTGTGAGCATGTGTGTAAGCGAGAGAGCTGTGGTCAGTGTGAATTTGTGTGGTAATAAATATCTGACCAATTGTATTGTGTGGTAATAAATATCTGACCAATTGTATTCTGACCAATCGATTTGATTAGATTTTCTTAGAAAACGATTCAGTGCCTTCAGTTTGATTCAGTATGACTCTTTATTATTTTTTTTTTTATATTCTCAACACACTAATGTGAGTGAAGAAATGACAGTCACATGCAAGAGTTATGTTTTGCTGATTTTATTCAAAGAGAAAATAAGTCAGCATATCCTCAACTTAAACATGCATGCTTATGCAAATTTTAGTGCACAGGCCAGATTCCATGCTTTATTTTTCCCCAGTATGTTAAATTCAGCATATAAACAGTTATTGTGCATTAACATGTGCAGAAGTGTGTTCTCTGTAGAGGATGTGTTCACTTATTTTTGCTGAAAAAATTAACAAAACGTGATTTGACATGGGGTGCCCAAACTTTTGCACACAAAACTGCCCAGCGCTACCCTTAGAGTGTGTATTTGTTCGCATGAGTGTCTGCTTGCAGTGTGTGTATGTGTGTGTGTGAAAGAGAGTGTGTGTTTTCCCGGTCCAACAAATCTGATTCAACTGATGAGTTTAATCAGTGGATTAATCAGTTAATTAGCTGATGAGCTTAATCAGATGTGTCGGAGCGGGAAAAGCACTGGACTGTGTGGGGCTGTCTGTGTGAAGACCTCACGAGCAGAAACCCCTAACCAGCAGGACTACAGGTTGTGGCTGAAGATTTGAGTAGGGGTGGGCAATATGACAATATTCATTGTTATCGTGACTAATTACATCACATAATGTAACAACATGCTTTTCTCAGCATATCGTGAATATCTTCAGGACTGAACTGCATGCTTCGTTATAAATAGAGCATAATTAGTCCTGTTAAAGGTAGTTTGTGTTGTGTTTGTGTACTTTGTGTGAGTTTAGTCTTCCATGATGGACAGTTGTATAGCTAGATAGAGGCTTTCCTGCTATCTTGGCCGTTTCAGTAGCACTGAGCGGCGGTTCTCCCTCGCTGCTTGTTCAATATAAGAGCATTTGCCTTTAAAGCTCAATGTTCTCCATGACTTATTTTATGCCAACCCCAAAGTATTTATATTTTTGCCTGGGTTCGAATGTGTGTAGCAGAGTAACTTTTTCAGTTCATCATTAGTCTGACACAAAGGTTTTGGTTTCACTGTTCATCAAAATCTAGCAGCAGTGTCACCCCTTCATAACAATTTAACTTTAGCTTTAGCTTGCTAACTGTCTTAGCTTAAGAAATAGATTGGCCAAAACTGAAACTATTAACAACTTTCCCGAATGTAGTCAATCAGCCAAGACATGTTTGGTGTCTGAAGTCTACTTCTTCCATTTTGCTCTGTAGCTAACAAGTAACAGCTTTTACCTCAGCAGTTAGCATGGTGCTAGCTACAAGCCTAAATCACCTCAAGCTGTGTCAAGTTGCTAAGTAATCTCAAGTAAACGTTTATGTGGTTTGTGACAATACACGCCAAGGTCGTACAAAAATACACTGCTATAAAATGCTCTACTGCTATAAATGAACAAAAGTACAGACAAAATTCAGATTCCTCTCCTACTGTTTTTTTTTAGCTGTGATGTACTTCTGTCCCTTCCTTTAAGCAAAGATTATCAGATCTTCTTGGGTAAACAGGTCATTACAATTACAGTCAAGAGGCTACCTTAGCATAATTCATTAATTTAATGAGATGCCCTGGGATGAACTCAACACTACACTACATGTTATGAGATATTCTTACAGACCTTTGAAATCCATTTTAAAATGAGGACTTAAAAACTACTGCAGCCTTGTTGATTATCTGTGGCTGTTACCTTCAGCAAAATACAGTTTTTTTTTGTACATTAACACAAGGCCATTGCAGAGACCCATCAGTTAGCAAAACTGGGAGTTAATGAGCACCAATCTTCTCATTAGTTTCGCCTGAGGAGGCCACAACAAAGCTGTTTAATTCCCCTCCATCAGCAGCACTTAAATTGATACCCTGACAAGCCCAACCAATTTTGCAGACAAACTCGTAATTTAATGGCTGATCTTAGTCTTGACTGAGTATCTTGTAATGTAGTGTTGTTATTGGCCTTGGCTGTCCGAAGCCCCATTACTGCTACCGCTACCTTGCCTCTCAAGGTGCTGGAGCAGAACCTTCTTAATTGGCCATAGGGGAGAAATACAAGAGGCACTGTCCCGTGAACTGAAGCTGCCAAGCCAGCCTCAAAAGAGAATTATTGGGAGCGTATGATAAACCACACCAGTGTCTGATGAAAACCAACACGTCTGCTTTACAACAGCTTTGCTTCATTCGCCTGCAGGGGAGGGAGAGGGAATGTAACAGTGTTGTTTTTTTAATGACACTATTATTAACGGTGCAGTAAGCAAAACTGGAGCACTAATGGTTAAGTGAAATAACAATGAAATTATTCATTTACGCATCCAGGAGTAACATAGCCATAGCTAATCAGCATACAGTTCTGTCCTCCTCACTAGAAGCAAGTTTTTCCATATTGGAAAACCACTACACTGTGTAAGATTTGGGGATTTGGAGACTTTTCTGGTGGAAATGCGTGGAAGAACATTCTGTAACATGGGTTGTGCTTACAGTCCCTTTCCTGAGTGGATGAATCTGATGATTGGATCTTATTTAAATAGGCATGATGTGGCCCAAAAAACTCCAGCAATGTCTGACTCAGTCTGTACCCAGTAAAAATATAATCAATTCTAGCTTTAACAAAGAAATTGCTGACTGCATAACTTCTGATGTTGGGAATACATTTGTTTTTCTGGGCCGAAGAAAAGCCTTGTATTCCCATGCTGGATCAGATCGAACAACCTCCAGCGCACAATGTAAATAATCTCCCCGGACTGCAGCATGAATATTTTACCACCAGCAGCGACCTTCCCATCACCCCCCGCTGACTCATACAGTGCGTCACAGTGAGCTGGACGTGCCGGCGGTGCGTCTTTCTGAGCTACTCATCAAGAGCCTGCTATGTACAGCAGCAGGTAGACCAAGCGGCCTGACAAAGAGAGTGTTTAAGAACAAAGAGCTTTTCCTCTGCTGTGAGATAAAGCAGTTAGCTCTGTGATGAAACAGCAGGGCAACAGCAAGCACACTGTGGTATTCTTGGCTGAGATGTTTACTGCCTTACAGATTATCCTCAGGATATTAATGCTTTGATGCCACTGCCCGATGGAACAGGCCCATATTGCACTGAGACTGACAGGAAATACATAACCAGTGTCCTGTCTTTGTGTTTCCTGGCCTGGAACTCTCACCCCATGTCTCAAATTGAGTATTTCTGTCCAATCAGGTATGTGGTAAGGGTGCTGGACAGAAAACATTCAAAACAGTGTATGGAAATGTGAAACAGTGTAAATCCACTGTCAATGAGTAATGTTAGGCATCAGGGTTTATCCTATCTGAAAAAAGTGGGCGTGGAGGGGCAGGATTTGTGCTATAGACTCAACCACCCTCAAATGACTTGGCATTTTTATGAAGTCGCTTATTGGTGTTGCAACTTCGGGTAGTTATGTTGTAAGAGGGCTGGTGCAACAGGCATTGCAGTTCTGTGTGAGAACGTATTTATCTGATCTAAATGTGTCTGGGGTCCAAAAGTCTGAGACCACATTGAAAATCTTGGGGTTTTTTTCAAAGCCTGGAAATAAATGACAGAAAATGCTGACCACTCTGCACACTGCCGACCATACTGCTGACCGCACACCTTATGATGACGGATCGAACAACTTCCAGCACCAAACAGTAGAATTTAGAAAATTTAGAAAAGTTGTAAAAATTTGAACATTTTTGAAAAACTGTGGAATTTAGAAAAACTTAGAAAGAAATAATGCTGAATTTATAAATAAAAGTTAATAAGTTATAAATAAAGAAAAGTTATGACAAATAAAATAAACAAGAAATATTCAAGATTCTAAGTCCTCTTATTTCTTCCACTGAAGCCCGTGTTCAGATGACTCTCAGGTAGATTTGATTGACGCATCAGAGGCTTTGTGGACTCCAAGTCAGCTTGAATGCATGCTTTGTCATTAAAGCCAAAGAGGGACATACAGTGCCAAATAAATTCATGTAAATATTTAAAAGATTTTACTTTTCACTGATACTGATAATATAATTTTTAATGAAAATTTGGTAATAAACTATAAAAAATACAAAATATACACATCTTCACTTGTGGTTTCAGACTTTTTGACCTCACTACAATTAGAGCTCCGTAGCATCAATGTGATTTTAACAAATAAAATATCAAAAATCACCAGAATCTTTACCTCAGAATCAAAAACTATTATTAAACCTGAAAATATGTCTATAATGTACTGTTAAGAACCTGATCATGTATTAGAACTAGGGGGCTTTAGAACTTCTCAATGTCTCTGAAATCAGAATCTCTCATCATAACAGGTGAGAAGTCTCTTTACACAGAGAAAGACTGTCTGTCTAAAGTCTTTAAGATAAAGAATAATTGTAATTGTCTGTTATCTTGGCCGATGTTACTAAACTAGGACTTAGTTAGCTGATACCAAATGATAAATTCACCAAATGATGTTGAAAATTGTATTATATTACGTGAGTAGAGCGTAAAGCAAGCTTGACGTTTGTTGCCTTTATTTGCTTTCTATGTGACATAGCTGTGCTTTGTACTGGCTCTACATTGCCCTCTGGTGGAGAATAGATTTTAGAATTTTACACATTTCAATGTTATAGAGAAGCTAAATTGCTTATCAAAAATCATAGGTTTTTCGATTTTTTAGATTTTAATTACTATTTGAGAATTCTGATTCATCTCTAATAAAAAAAAAACAACTACAATTTCCTTTGCACTCAGCAGTCACATGCTGCCATACGCAGTGGTGAAGCCACAATATAGAAGTGAAGTTTGAAATGTCTAAAAATTAAAATCT